TAGCTCATAACGTCGCTATTCACGAAACGAACATTCGTTTTCGAATCAAGATGGCAACTGGCAGCCCCTTCAGCACACGCAAAGTGTGCGGTTACTTTTACAAACTCGTCCTAGACGATCAGGATGTGCCGAAGGAGCACGTTTTCTGTCGGTGCAACGTTGTACACACGCAAGTACCCAAGACTGACTGCAGTAACCACTTCAGCCACGTCCTCGAGCGCCACCCGGACTTCATGGAGATCATGGTGGCCAGCGAAACCAACAACACAACCCTCGTCAGCTTCATCGACCAAAAGTTACAGACTATCCTCTGCCGGTTGAAGCGGATTACTGGCAGCAATCCGCCGTATTCGTAGTGCGAGGACCCCCTTGTGCTGAAATATACCAACCTATAGCGCATTTCACCAGATACAATGATTAAGTAAGCCGATTTGCTCGTTCGAGAAATCACATTTGATATCAGTTTGTCAATTACCGCCAAATTCGGTATCATGCCCTACGGATGGACATTTCAGTCCGAGCATTATCCCGCGATTTTACCGCATTCGAGCGCTGGTCGCACTGACAAAGTGCTGCTCACCTTTGCACCTCTGGTTGACGATGATGTGACCGATCACTCCACTGTAACCACGTCAAATTTCTTGAAAGGATCCTCCCCGTTTTCAATCGCGACATTGGCGACATAATCTTCCTTGTTCGCGATAACTGCGCCGTCAGCATCAAGCTGTCTGACTTAATGTCATTTTTTCTTATTAAGTTTGCCTCACACCGTCTCAATCTCGCCGTCCGGAATTCCATGGGGGGAAACACTTTGTTGAGCAAGATCCAGGAGCTGATGCAAAAATTACGGGATCTCAACCAATCAGCAAAATATCAGTACGTTTTACAATGTTTTGATTGGATGACAATATTGTATTTTGTATTTAGCATTTTGCTTTTCTCGTTGTTGTTCTTCTAAAAATTAAATTAGAAAAACAACATCTTTGAGGCTGTTGTGCGACAAGCCACACCCTTGGGCTCAACATACAAGATGACCAAACGAGTTTTTTTGTTCAATCAAAGGACTTCAATTGGCACTTCGGACGCGAGCTGGCGGAGCTGATGCCAATACGACATAAAGAGAGCAAGCTCCGCTCGCTTCAGGACGATCTACGCAAGTTCAAGTTAGCCTCCAGGAAGTTCCAGAGCGACAATAATGTCACGATTTTCGACGTGCGTGACATTTTTGACACTCCGATCTAGCGGTACCCGTCAGTAAAGGCGTACCTGGACGCTGAGGCCACCACCATGAAGAGTCCCGCCTTCGGAAAGGTGTGCGCTCAAGTTTTGCTGGGTAAGGAGGCAAAACTAACCATAGAATAGCACGGCCTGCTCAAGAATTTGCACACTCCGCTGCCCACCATGCTACCAACGAAAGACAAAGATGATGGCGGTAGCGGTTTGATGATCGCGTGATGCGGGCAAATACAAACAGCAAGTCGCTGCTCAAGCCTGTGGGTTTCGGTTCATACAGCCTACGTTTAATCAATGGAGCGGCTCTTCAGCAAGGCGCGGCACGTGCTGTTGTTTCATCGCCACAAAGTGATTCGGATGCCTATGAAGAAGCTATTAGTTTTGAAGAATAATCATTTATTGGGAGCTGCTAAGGTGTCGAAGGTCGTGAACGCGTAAATAGAAGCTGGTCAATCGTCAAACACAGGTTGCCCTCTTGTTTGGGAGTCATTACCATTTAATAATTTTCTTTGGTATGCATTAAATAGTTTGCAAAACTACGGAATAGTTTATTTTATCACTTTCTAATGATCCGGGGAATAGCTTGTTGCGGAGACTTAGCAAAATGGCATTGCAATTTCATTTTCGGAGGGCCTAATTGTGCATAGCGCCAACTTAGCGGTAGCTTGAAAACGCAACAACGCTGCTCCTTTCTCCGTTGTGATAGTGTTGCGCGGTTTGGAGAACTGGCTAGCCACTTCAGTAATATCCTCAATCATACCACATCACCTCTACGAGCCAACGCTGGCCAAAGCCGCAGATTGATTCTTTTATGAACCCAGTCTGAGCTGCAACCACTCGAAATCTCGCGTAAACGGGTATTTTAGGCAAAATGGTTACTATGCAAAAATCTGCGCTGTAACTGTAAAATCCAATAAAATCCGGTATTTGTGCGGTATCCATCCCAAAAAACCGTATATATCGGTACATAATTAGGGTAATAACCGGTACGTGTACGTAGGAGTTTTTTTCCTTGCTTCTTTGGCCATTCGCTGGTATAAAACTCCCTCGTCATCCAAAGCAACACCTCAAAGCAAACATCACTTTACTTGAAGTGCTTTCCGCTTTCCGCATCATGCCACGCCCGCCCAGTCCGCTCTGGGAGCACTTCGGCAAGGTGATGCCCAACAAGCGAGCCACCTGCAATTACTGTGGCCTCAATATGTGCGGACTCGTCATCCGCATGCGAATGCACCTGGCGCGCAAGTGTGCGAGCTGCCCGGATCCCGTTAAGGCCGAGATGTGCGCTGAGATCGGCCGCAAGCATCAAGGTGCGACTAGTTTTCACTATGATTACAGAGTGATGGTCACTAAGTTGCCTTGTTAACTGTAGTCTCCACCGACGCCTCTGTCCACACAGCCAAGAAGGCGCGCACCGCGAAGGATGACGCTCTACGCGCAGATGAAGCTCAAGCCCCAGACCAGGTCCCAGCAGATCAAGCTCCATCACCGACGCTAGCGCAAGCCTCGGTAAACGAAGAAGCGCCGACGGCCACTACAGCGTCCACGGCTGTGGCCGTGCTGGATGACAAGGGCGACCTCGACGGATACGTAGCACGAGCCATCTTTGGCGCCGGCCTGCCCGTGACTACAGTGGAGCACTCGTCCTTCGTCAAAATGCTCAAGCGTATGAATCCGGCGTACGACCCGCCCAGTTCCTTCGTCCTTGCGACGCCAGTGCTGGATCTCGAGTACTCGGAGGTGCAGATCAGGCTGCGAGCAGAAGTGCTGGACTCGACAGCTGTGGCTCTCGGTGTGGAGTCGTGGGGGGCAGCGCAGAAACGCTTGATGGTGAGCTCTGTGATCAACAAACCTACTCCAACGGTGTTTGGCGTTGACAGTACCGGAGACGTACCACAAACACCGGAAATGCTCGTGGACAAGATCGAGAACACGATGACACAGATTGGAACAAGCAGAGTGTCGGTCATTGTGACGGACACAGGTGAAAGCATGAAGCAGGCGACAGTGACACTACAGAACAGGTATCCAGGCGTCACGTTCCTGCCGAGTTGCGCGCATATTATGAACGTGATGATGACGGAGATGCTGGGCATGCCAACTATTGCTAGCACCCTCGATACTTGCAAGAAGCTGGCCCGATTCTTCACGCACGACGATGTCGCCCGCAATGCTATTATTGCACGTGTTTCGGAACAGATACACTCTGTAGACGTACCTTCGCCGTTGGGCGACCCAGACGATTCCAGCCCGATCGCGCTACTGGAGTGTCTGTTTACTATCGAGCGCAATCGCCACTCGTTGGACATTTTACTCGCTGAAAACGGCACTCTGAACAATTTGAACGTGCAGGCCAAAAAGCAGATTATCAGTCTTGATTTTTGGGATGAGCTGTCGATGTTTACTGAGCTCTTTGAGCCTTTCCTCGAGATTTTGAAGATGTTCGAGACCGATTCTGCGTTGCTGTCAACGTTCTACCATCGATTTACATTGTTGTGGGCACATCTCGATAAGTTTGGGAGTCTCGCGTCCAAGTTTCAGCACATTATCTCTTCCCACTGGCAGAATCTTCAACACCCCGCCATGTATACGGCCTATCTGCTGGATCCTCGCTTCCCGCCGTCGAGTCTCTCGGGGGAAGCCACGAGCGAGGCGCTGGCGTATATAAAGCGAACTTCTAACACGGAGGTATACGGCTCCATTGTGGATGAGTTGACGCGCTTCACAGCGCGAACGGGTTTGTTTGCTGACGATGCGATCTGGGAGTCCGCGCAGAAATGCAGTCCTATTACATGGTGGAAGGGCTTCATCGGCAGCTCGTGTCCGAACCTGCAACCTGTGGCTTTGCGTACACTGGGCTTCCCTGTATCGGCTGGACTTTCCAGAAGCAAACGTGAGATATTCGACAAGATTCAAGCCATGTACGCCAAGGACATGAGCGAAGAGCAGGCCAGCAAGGCTGCAGTTGTGTACTTGAACTCTAACCTGATATCGAGCGTGGAAGACGGCGTCGCCAGCACCGAGACACGCGTCTAAGACGCTTCAGACAACAAGAGATGCAAGAGTCATTATCGTCGCCAGGTCCTCGTACCCATGTCTATTTGGTTATTGCTGTCGTGGTATGCATGTCGGCTACGGCATCCAGTTCGACTCTCTAATAGCGCACAAGCACTCGAGGCCTCAACTCGAAGGCCGCGCCTTTGAATTTTCTCCTCGCCTGAGCACACCTGGTGAAGCCTTGCGTGCTGACAGCGTGGAGAGCGAAGCAAACACCCGTACACTATCGCGCACGCTCGTCAGCAAATCCATGTATAAAAAATATCCAAAATGCAGAGAACACAACGACAGCCGAGAGTCCTCGACGTCTCCGCCATCACCAGGCCCCGGGTCACATCATTGTTCCAGTCAGTGGCTGTCTCGTTTCATTGTTTTCTTTCAAACTCACCCTCGGCAAACCCAACTGACAGACCAACCAACCAACTCAGCAGCCGGTGAGCTAAAGACACCACCGCGTCGTTACCAGACCAGGACCCAGATCAGACGAGTGCTTTCTCGCCTAACCAACCACGCATCACCACAGCCTCCCGCCTCCTCGCCAATGCGCCTGTCTACTTGCTCTCGCTTTCGCTCGCGGGAGCAGCAGGCGGGTCAGCCTTTACCACATCGAGGAAGTTGCGGCCACCCCATGCACCGGTCTTTGGCAAGGACTCGTCCACGGCTGGAGCAGCAGCTGCCTTGGGCGCGCTCTCAGCAGTCTTGGTCGCCTTCTTAGCGACCTTCTTCTCCTCCTTAGCGGCAGTCTTGGTGGCTGGCTTGGCAACAGGCTGCTTCTTCTTGGGCTCAGGAGCAGGGGCCGGAGTACCATTAATCACAGCCGCAGCGTAGCCGATAACCTTCGCAGGGACAGGAGCCGACTTGGTTGATGCAGGCGCAGCAGCCTTAGCAGCAGAGACGGCATCAGTGGAAGCAGGTGCGTTCTCCGCCTTCTGCTTGCGCTGTTCACGAGCCTCCTTGGTGTAGTCCTCACCGTACATCATACTTTCGTAGTCAATCGAGCCCACCGAGTCACTACGGATCGGTCGTCCTTGACGCATGGCGTCACGAGCCTGCTCAATACTGTATGTACGCTGGTTACGCAGCAGATCAGGGTGCGCCTCAGCCGTCAGAGCCGCCGGGTGCACAGCGTAGTCCATCTTACCCTCCAGCAGCATGCAGTCCTTCTCGTCCATGTTCTTAACGATTTCCATGATGTCCTCGTGAGCGTACTTGTACGTGATGACTTTCGACACCTCGCCCTTCTCCTGAGCTGTAGGGAGCGGAGGGAAGTTCGCCGCGTTCAACACTGGCTGACGCTCAGCGGGAGCAGCAGCGGCCGTCTTCTTTCCGTTGCTGCTGTTGTTTGCTTGCTTCTCAGCCTTCGAGCGCTTATCCTTGTTCTTACGAGAGCTGCTAGGTCCCCGCTGCTCGAAGCTGCCGCTCTTAGCGCGGCCATTGCTCTGCTGCTGGGCGCCAGCTCCGTTTGATCGGTTCTGACGTCCCTGGCCACGGCCAGCGACAGCTCCACCACGCTGATTGTTGCCGGCATATCGGCTGTTCTCAGCGCCGTTGCTGTAGTTGTGGTGCTGACCCGCACGCGGGTTCACTGTGTTGTATTGGACGCCGTAGTTGTCGTAGTAGCCCATGTTGGGCGAGGCGTAGTAGCCGCGGCCTCCGTACGGGGCGCCCACACTGGGAGCGATGACGTTCTCCGCCGGCTGCGTGGGGTAGAAGGACTTGAGCACATTCTCGGATTTAAGACGAGCCTTAATAGGTGCGCCGTTGAACGTCTTGCTGCGCAGAGCCAGCAGCGTGCTCACAGCTTCGGATTCCGAGTTCATAGTGACGAACCACGTGTCACCGACGTCGCTGCGCACGCTGGCGACCTTGCCGCATCCCTCGAAAATGGCTCCAACCTCCTCGGGCTTGGTTGAGGACGGGATCTCGCGCAGAATGATGGTAGTGCGCTCGGATTTAATGTTGGGCTTGATAGCGTCCTTGGACGAGTTCAGCGAGCAGACCTGCGTTAAGTTAACATGCATACAGTCAGCATAATGTCAGCAAAATACAGAATGGTCCGCAGCAAGTTGCAACTTGCCGCGATTGGCTGGGTAAGCACAATAGGGATGATTGACTCACCGTTGAGTCCTGTACGGCATCGACAAGCAGTGCCTTGTCGTCTGTGAGCTGCTTGATCTTAGAGAAGTTGATGATGACCTCCACAGGCACATACCTGCAATAGGAATAAAGGAATGGAGACATGATGAGCTCTTGTGCTTTGTTGCAGGAGCTCAAGAAAACTGTGATCGGACGCACATTTGCGAGTTCATCTGCGAGACGAGGTAGGCGTCATTGGCCAGGTTGGCTCGGGAGAAGTAGAATTCTACCTGGCGCTTGATGGCCTCCTTGAGCTCCGCTCCCTCTGCGTAAAAAAGAAAACACCGTGCAACAAGTCAGTCACCAATGGTGTGTCGCCCATGTGGGCGGTTAAAGTAGCTGTAGGACGCACCAGGAGCTTTGGTCTGCTGGGCGCTCATCGCTGTAGTCTGGCTGTGCAGTGTGTGTGTGCTGGGGTCTGTCAAGCCCCCCGGACGCCACTCGCGGTTGGTCTGTTCGAGTCTTGCTGAGTGACAGCAGCAGGCCCGAATCGGTACCGGTATGCGGAATGGATGGCGCCGGCGGTTTGACGTGTCACTATGTCGTGTGCTACACATCAAGTAGTGTGGAAGACGTAAGTTGAGTGCAGCACTCAAATCTCCGGCTTCAAGTCAATCAAAACGTTTCACGATGGCAAGCCCAATGAATTGACCACGGGGACAAAACTGTCATGCATTTATGCGTGAGATGCTACGAATGGACATGCAGTACGCTGGAGTATCCGTGGTTTTTTACAGGTCGGCCACGAGGTCTACGATCTTGGAGGCGAGTGCGACCTGATCCTCGAACGCCACGTTCCGGAACTCCGGCACGTGCACGAATAGAGCGAGGTGCTGCCAGTAGCAAGCCAACAGGAGTTAGAACCTCAAATTAACATTCACAGTATATAGCAGAAGCTCACCTCCGGGTGCCCATTGGCCTCTTGGCGCTTGACCCAGACGAGCGACCGGTAGTACACGTAGTTGCAGATGTAGCGACCCGGATCGGTTGACATATCGACTCGCGGGTGCACGTCTTGCAGCGTCTTCAACATGTCTTCCAGTGGTAGCTTCGTAGTGATTTCGTCCGGCTCGCCTTTGTGGATAACCTCGTCCTTCGCGACGTAGCCCCGCTCGTCCGGAATCCGGAAGTCCGCCACGTTGTAGCCCACCTGCTCCAGCTTGAGCGAGCGCGAGATGGCACTCACACCAAAGTGCAGGAAGATGCAGGGCCGACCACGATCCTGTAAGAATCGTTTAGTACGATCCATTCATTATTTTGACAACTCATTGTCATACCTCCGCCCTTGCGTACATCTTCGCGAGCTCCTCCTCGCAGCCTGTCGTACACCACACAACCGTTAACAAGATTATCGAGTCCCCATTGCGTTGTATTCTTGCCTCACTCTCTTTGGAGACTTCGAGCACATGGGACTCGGTCACTTTGGGGTGCTCCGCCAATTTCGTGGACAGGAACGTCGTCGGATTCTCGAGGATGTCGCCGAACTTGCCGAAGCCTGTAAGATACACGTCACGCTTCTGCGGCGAAGTGACTGTAGCGCCTGCAGTGGTATTAGTCGCGTTGGTCGCAGACACCGCAGCGGCCTCCGGTTGCGAGTTGGCCACCATTGTAGATCCACAGCTCGAGGCGAAACGGAGAATGACATCGAATGTTGGAATGAGGTGATGCTTTTACCGTCGCATACTTTAATCAAGTAAAACTACATTGAATACTTTAACAAGGTCAAAATATCGGTGCCCGCATGGTAATCAGATCAAGCGCAAGTAGAATGTTGAAGTAAGTGCATGTTTTATTGGGGCTCCTTGGCGCCATTATTCGCTCATTAGCTTATAGTTGGAGCGAGGACTGTGCGTCTCATTATTCGCCGCTAGATCGACGGAGCTTGGACTCCTGTCGGGTTCCTCGCTTCGACTGCTCATGCCGGAGTCGCAGTACGTTGAGTTGATGGCGTCCAGATCGATGTACAAGCCGTCGGGTGTCAGCGTGATGTTGTCCTCGAAGTGGTGGTCAACTAGGATATCGCAGGCGTGATAGGCCTTCCGAGCAACCATCGTATCACTGATGATGTTGTCCTGCCCAGTGAAAAGCACCACGAAGAAATGGTCTCCTGACAGCAACTCGTCTGTTGACAAATGGTATAGAGGCGAGCTATCATCGATAATGTGCGTCAGCGTGTTGCACAAGTTAATAATCGGCCACACATTGCGAACCTGTGCCATCAAAGACGTTGAAGATGAATTAAAGCGAGAGTAACAGCAACTCAATCGGTACTAAAACGTACCAGACGTAACTCGTGGGTCTCCCGGCGTCCAAAGTTGCGATTCAGCACCACGACACTCATCCTAGAGGACAAACGACGGCCGAGAGATCAGATCACTGTATCATTCTGTTGACCAAATAAAGGAGCTACCTGAAGGAACCCTCAACGAGAACGCCAAACTTGCGATTGTTGGCAGCGCGAAACATAACGGCACGATGTGAGTGGAATGTTGTAAGCAGCAGAACGTCGCTATACAATAGAGTCGACGCCTTCGGGATTGAAAACTTCGCCCATGTTATGCCTGCCAAACCGAAATGGTACCGAACAACTTGTCATCGAATAACGTAGCGGAAGCACCAAGACTATACCAACGAACCCGTTACAATCGTCGAGACGAACAGACCGGAAAATACCATAAGAAACACGAAAAAGTTGGCTACGTCACTATCTTGACGTGGGCTTAGCGTTCCATAACCAACCGTGGAGATAGTCTGGACACAAAAGAAGAAAACTTCTCCGAATTTGAGTCCGAAATCGCTTTGCGTTCGTTGCGCTAATGGCTCGTGAATCTGTCGCAAACACAAGAGTTAGCGTCGAAAAACTACACATTCATTTCATACAGAATTCGTAACGTACCGAAATGGCAATCACCAATGCAATCGTAGCGACCACGGTCAAGTAACATACAACAAGACACAGCAGCAGATTCGGCCAGGAGGCTGCCAGTGCTCGCTGGTATAACCCGTTCAACAGCAACCTCCACGATCCATTCCTGACGTGAACTCTTCGTTGCAATAAGCTCCTAGGCCTCTCCTTGAGATTTCCAGATAAATCGTGGTCGTGGTCTTGATACGATCGGGATACACGAGCACTACATCTTCGACGTTGGATAGACTGAGTTGCTGTTGATTGCCCACCATTTTGCCCGCCCGATGGGGATCTAGCATTTCGTTCTACTTCATCGTGTCCGTCATTATCGTCAATCCTCCGTATTGTCGCTTCGTCATCATTATTATCACTTAAACCCCATAAGCTACCGTCAGCCATCTTGTGCGATATGGTGTCTTCGGCTTGAAAGTTTTGTGAATTGGAGTAATTCGTATTCCCAACAGGCTCACGATTCGATTCATCGTGAGAAGAAGCAGGCGATTCATTTTCTTGCAAAGAAGAATTCGCGATGTCCATGTCGATCGCATGCTCATCAGCAGAATCATCCACTTGAGGGGCCACCAACGATATTTTGTCGAGGTCCAGCTCAATAAACTTGTGCCGACTGTCCCAATCCAGCATGGGGAGGAACTTGGCACTCCACCTCATCGCTTCTCGGCCATATTCATGTTTCTTGTGAACAATATCGTGAAGGTTTTCGTCTAAACCAGACGCAAGGAGGATAAGGACGAAATCGGACCGCTCAAAGTCGTCCGATGCCTGGTTGAAAAACGGGCTGTTGGCATTGATAGTATGGATCAGTTCAATCTCCAGTCTGTTTGACACAATGTAAGAAGTTATATCAACCCGGCGCAGTATAAAACATCGCAGCCAATGGAAGTACCGTAGCGAAATGATGCGTGCTGTTTTCAGCTTCAGGTCATAGTAACATAGTCTTTTCTCTCCATGCTTTCCAGTCTTCAATGAACACGTCGAACATGAGCATCATCGTCAAAAGATAAAGGTAACAAGTTTTCTTACCTCAATGCGCATCAGAATGAGCTTGAAGCCAACATCGATAATGTCGCCTTTGCTGGCAAGGTCGCGATGAGTCTCGTTTGCGACTCGAAAGCGCATCTCCAGGTCACTTTCCCCACGCGAGATAGTAAACACCTACAGCAGCGGCAACGAGTTATTAGCGTTAAACTCGATGACCTCCGAAGTTACGTTTGCACTTACGTTGCTGAATGCAATATTGGGGTGGGGACGAGCAAACTTGACAAATGCAACGCCGGTCATGAAGGAGATAATCAGCATTGACAGGAACGACTCCATCGCACCGATCAAACGGGAGCACGTGTTCTCTGGTGAGAGATCCCCATAACCTGTCGCCGATAGGTCAGTTCGAGCAGATCGGGTAGAATATACTTCTCACGAAAGAGACAGTCATACCGGTGCTTGACAGTGTTTGAAGGCTCAGGTTGAAGTAATTCCTCGCGTTTTCCGAGCCCTCTGGAAGTCTAGCACGAAAACAGCGTAGGCTAAGGCCTCGATCTCTTCGTGTCCACATAATATAGTTCAACGCTTACCCATTACAGGCAGCGAAAAGGAGCGCAAACACGCCGACGACAGCGACATAACCCCCGACAAATACACAGATCAATGGAATCCAGCCAATTGAGACTAAATGGTACAAGCGGGCTAAGAACAGCACAACCCCAGGAAGAGTCCACATCGTTATATGCATGCTACACTCATCAATCGCCCAATAGTGACCTTACATGGAAATCGGATCTGCGTCCAATGTTTGCACTTGATCACTGGTAGATTAGGACGAAGCAGCCGTCGTCTAGACCGAGCTGCCTCATCGTCGAGGGTTGTGCCATGCCAAACATCGAGATCACAGATCCCGGAGCTGCTTTCACTAGCAGTGCATGGGCACGGGTCTTCTGCCGAACGCTGCTGGTGTCCCGGGCTTCGGCTTGGGATGCAGCGCTTCTTGGACGGTGGCATCTGGGATGCTAAATCGAGAATGTCGAGAGTGTGATGTGATGTTATGCCATAAGTTATGGTGGATCGTGCAGCGTTCAACATTGAGAAAAAAAAACAGTCAGAAAGATGTAGGGTGATATTTACTCTACGGAAGAGTCCTCGATGGAGATCGTCACCATTCACGGCATGATCGTCCTGCGCAGCTTCGCGACAACAGGCACGATGTATCCTGAGACGCCCAGTGTGAATGGGTAGATGGCACTACCGAAAACTACTGCCGCAGCATAACCGCCAAGTGCTTCACCCACCTCTCCCATGCCTAGTGAGGCGAGGATCGGCATGACATCCACTCCTTGCTTGATCAGGGCGTACAGTGAGCAAACCACGCCCACACCAGCCAGACGAGATCCCATCATGTATGCAGCACCGTAACTGTCCACCACCTCCTTAGCCTTGTCCATCGCTTTAGACATGAAGCCGGGACTAGAGATTGTTGTTGTAGAGGTATTCGCTCGACTGCAACAATTTACACAACAACAAGAATCATGTGAATGAATGGGTCAACAACATAGAGCACCAGACTTCGCTATAGACGCACTTTGGTAGAGCACCAGTCAGGTCCGAGAGCCGCACTTTGGACAAAACTGGGAAGATCTTAGCAACGCCAGCAGCGACCGCCAAGTCTAGCGGCAGGCGAAAGCGGCGGAAGGGGCGACTGGCAGCGAAGGCCAAGGCGAATTCCGGCGAGAACTCAAGACCAGTCAGCGAGATGACACCGTACATGGCGCCAATGCTGCCAATATCGGAAGCGAAGAGCACGGCGATAGTCTCGCCCGGGTGCTTCTTGATGGAGTCGTTAAGTTTGTCTACCACACAGTCCAGCACAGCCGGCTTTTGCTCCGCCTCAATCTTGGGCTCCTTTGACTCCGGGGCGGACGTGCTTACGCATCGAGTAGCGACGCTGCTCATACGAAACCGCTGGTGTAATCGACTCGTGCCAGTGGACAAGTGACAGAGGCTGCCATGCGCTCGCCGTGACAGCCGCGAAGAGAGGCTGAACAAGGAGGTGCCAACGCACAGCATGTTGAGCAATGGTAACTTCAGGTGATTCAAGATTAAACCTACAAACTTTCTCTTTAAAACCGTAAGCTCAACCTACAATCCACTTCGTATGCGACAAATGTTTGGATAGGCGAAGTGAATTTTCCTCTTATCTGATTGGCTGAACAGTTTGTGTACATTTTGTGAAGGTGATCAACTTTATGGCCAAACAGGTCAACTATCTGGTCCTGCATACCGCAACGGGCTCTGCTTGTTGAACTCCGCATTCGATGTCGGAGGCGACGTCGCTGTTCGGGCGCGCGGCCACCGACGCCAGTGCTAGCAGCCGCAGCAACGGCAGTGGCGGGCGTAGCGCCCCCACTGTCTCTCTACCTGACGCCGAGTCCCGCCGGAACTTGTTGCACCGCACGCCTGGAGGCTCACAACGCTCGCAGAACGGGGACAATGTTTCGTTCCTGAGCTCTACGCCCATTGAGGAGTTCGTGGCCAAGTACCAGGTGATCAAAGTCTCATGGCGTGGCAAGTACGAGCGCATCCTGGCGCTGGCGCCCACACGCTTCTGCACTATTGACCCGCGCGACTTCGAAGTCACCAATACGTGGTCACTCACAGCTCTCGTCGGCATCAACCTTGACCCGTCGGACGCACAAGGCTTTGCTCTGTCGCTAAAGGGCGCCAAGAAGGACGAGCAGCTCAAACTGCGCTGTCGCTTCCGCTCCCGACTGCTCTCGGATCTTTACCGACTCAGAGACCAATACCAGCAACGCAATGGGCGCTCTGAAACGGGTTTTCAATGCTCCAAATGGTCGAGAAAATGTGACACGATCAACTGCATGCTGGACGTGGGGATGGATGGGGTTACTCTTACCCAACCGGGCATTGTCCGCTCCAAATACCTGTACACGGAGATGGAGCACTTGACGTTGCTCACGGACTCTCAGGACGGGTTTGCCATTGGATACACTGGACGAAGCAGACTCTTCTTTAGTCAACACAGAGCGCAGATTTATCGTCGCATTCAGGCTGCAGCGGAAGCAATTGGATGCAAGCTCCAGGCGAGGACCAATGTGACGGCTGAGAAGATTCAAGAGGAGAGAAACTATTATGGTCTGAACAACGGTGAGCCGTTCGTGCAGTTCCACGTGAGAAAGCTGACACCCAAGTACCATGAACCACAAGAGCGGGTTCTTTCGTTGCATGATAAGATGCTGGTGGAACTGGATCGTGATGAAAAGGTCATTGCGTGCTACAACTACGCGGATATTTACGTGCTTGTACGAGAACCATCGAGCCCAGAGCAGTTCAAGATCCAGTTTCGCAACGGCCAGATGCGGACGTACCTGGCAAGGGACCGTGATGGTGTCTTAAGCGCCATCTACGATATTTGCGTGACTTGTGATGAGAACCCCGAGTTGTTCATTACTGGCTTTGTGAATCAGCGAGGACTGCGCTTGCTACCTTTTTCGGCGGTGGAGGATACGACCGAAACGCAATCATTTTTTAACGACTCCTCCATTGCAAGTTGGTACCTTCAGCGCATGGGATCTGTGGGGAAATTCGGAAATTCCATGAAAGTTGGCGATAGAGGGTACGTTCGAAGTTGTATTCAGTTATCCTGCTCATCTGGTACCGCTAACGAGTGTATATGTTATCTAGCTTTGTAGAAATTGTGGCCGAGTTCAACGCAAATGTCCCTGCAAGCGGAATCCCGTACAATACGAAGCACTCGATTATCGGAGATGCTTTACGCCCAATGTGTGCTCAGCTTTACTACGTCGCGAAGACAAAGCCCGTCCCTGAGCGCTCTGCGGTGACTCTTCTTCAGGCAATGTTCCGCATCTCGTCGTCCTACTACGGTTTCCGTGAGATTGGGCAGGCTGGTCAGATTTCAGAGACGATCACGAACCTGTTAATCAACGGCGATGAATTTGTTGTATTTTGGACAACGCTGTTGCTGCGACGCCTGACGGCTCATACGCCTTCGAGTTCGGCCAGTAAGTTTTGATGAGCCATCATATAATAGAGTGCTACTTACTGTTTGACTGTTTTCCATGACAGGCCTCGACAAAGCTTCCGTGAGATATTGCGAGGAAATCGAGACGGAAAACAAGAAAGTGTTTCTCGCGAACACATACTTAACCCAGTCTCTTATCACTCACCTGGAGGATATTGATGTGGATCCCGAGAGCCACCACTCAAGTCACAACCCGAGGGCTGGCCCTCTTGTCATGATGGGTTTGCTACAAACCCTTGAAGGCTGTCTTTGCTCCCGGGCGTCTACAACGGGCACAGTGGAGTTCATGACTTTAGTAGAAGGGGTGGCGAAATACTACAGCACGTTACTGAAAGTGCTTTTCCAGTCTCGCTGCGCAACCACCGTCGAGGCGTGTAAGTATTTGCTCGATGCAATCTCTCTCACGATATTGCTTACGCTCTTATATTGGTTCCAATTTAGGTACACTTCTGCTGAAGACCACTCTCGAGGAATGCGACCCGGTTGTGGCTTCTAGCATTCGAGACAAAGCCCTGACAGAAGGAATTGTTCTGCGGCACTTCTACCAAGGCTTGTTTGACGAGTCCTTTGATCAGAGATGCGTGAGCAGGTATTTAGTGTCCCTTTGGATGAGTCATCACGATGGATCGAAGCAACTCCTGTCGCGGATGATTCCTTCTGGCTTTTTCCACCTGCTAAAAGAACCCCCTGGAACGGCAGCGCAAATCGAAGACTACGATCGATTGGAGCGGGAAGCAATGGAAGCTGAACGCCAAGAACGCTTGTTAGAATATAATGATGATGACCGTGCTTCGTCCACAAGTGAGTCAACCATCCAAGGAGGTTCGATGGATTGGCTTTCTGGTGGAGAAAGCAGTATTGCAGACTCCGAGATTCATCAGGAGAAGATGTCGCGAAAGAGTGTATCCATGGGCGATGTGGGCTCGGGCAATGGACGCCAAAGCGGTCTTCAGTCAGAGTATCGTCGCTCATCATTGTCAAACCTGCCCATTCCCGAGATCCGCTCATCATTTTCAGGCGAGCGATCATCGTTGACGCGGAATGCCAGTAATGGACGGAGTTCTTACGAGACACCGATTGAAAACGAGCAGTCGAAGGCTCGATTGCTACGCAAACTGAAAAGTTCAGTTGACGGGACCTCTAAGAGCTTGCGATCGACTAACAATTCAATGCATGAATCCAAGTCTCGTAGCTCCAGTTCACACGACCCGGCACCACGTCTCCGCAAGAGGGATGTGGCTCTAAGCTTCCTAGGTGCTCTCGGTGGTAAGAAAGCACCTGCTCAGCACGGGAACAAGACTTCAAAGGGAAGACACCGCGCGATATCACGCTCTGCGCGTGCACAAGAGAACTTCCGTCTTCTCTTTCACATGCTCAGCCTGGACCACGAGACTGTTCATATGATTTGGAACAAACAGACACGAGAAGAACTTCGGTCTGCATTATACGCTGAAATTAAGCGCTTCACCCAATTCCAAATTAACAGCGGAATGATGAAAGCTCGATGGAACTACGAGGATTTTGAGGTGCCGTATCCAAGTCTCGCCAATGAGGTCGGCGTTGGTGGATGTTACATCAGAATACTGGCGCATTTGCGGAGTAAAATGTCCTTCTTTGGATCAGTCACGGAGGAAGACGAGTTCATAGTACTGACACCCGAGCAGGTTCCTGTCCGGAACCCTGCAGCGGTACTGGCGGCACTGTATGTTCGGATGCTGCGCGAGAACATCCACGCCGAGTATAGAGACGATCTGGAAACGTCGATACTGTGCATTAAAAGTATGGGAGTTGTGGCAGCTGCTCATGCAGGATATGTGAATGCCGTGAATTTCGAAGAGGTTGAACACCTGTGGACGCTCATGAGCGAGACCGTACATGCGTCGATGTTGGCGAACTTCCTTCAGACCGTTCGGGCGTTGTGTATGCACCCTGGGAATGCACGTCGAGTGCTACGCAGTGAACACAACGTGGAGCTGGCGGTTCAACTTCTCCAGTTGGCACACTCGACGAACCGCGATGTTGGTGATATCACCGAGCCGAAGAAACTGTGGATTCTCGAAACTGACGGAGGAGAGCAACTCGGACCATTTAGCGTGAACGAATTGAAGCAGAAACGAGACGAAGAGCACACAGACATGAGCTCGTTCTGGGTTAAACGCCACGATGACCTAGCTTGCGAATCATTTACGACAAAGGCTAAAGTCATGGAAATCGCGCAGTTGCGATGGGAAGTTGGAATTCTAGGCGACTTGAACCCGCTCCAGATGGCACACGATGCAATTAGCGTGCTACTCTCGGTGGCACACAGTAACTCGTTGTTAAGTAAACGTGACGACGACTTCACATCGCCCATTTTCCCGCTGCCCCGAGGAAAGACGACGTTATGGAGATTCGCCCGTCAAATTTTACCGGTGTTGATTCGAAGCAATCATCCTAAACTATGGGAAAAGGTTGCCACGTTGCTCGAATTCTTGTACATTGATCAGCAGCCAATTGGTGAATCACCAGAAGAAGACGTAACAAATCGAGCATCGTTGTTCTCCTGGGGCTTGTTCTACTTGGCGTTCGTAGGAGGAGCATCCGATTTCAAGTCTATGGCGGGATTGCTGAAGGCTACACATAAACATCAGGCCAAATTCAACGGAACGAGCTCACTGAAAAACATTTTACCTCAGGCTATGATCAACTTGCTGGATCAGTCGTCTCCTTCTGCGTTCACAAACGTATTCTGCGAGGGAGAACAGTCGCCGCTGGTGATTTGGAATGACGCTATGCGGGAGCATTTACAGACCGTATGCCAAGCGCATTTGCAAGATTATGCCGAGGTTTTGGAAGAAGATGCGTCGCGCGATTGGTGCTTTTGCCCGATGGCACCTGTTGCGTTCAAGGAGTTGGCCGATGAAGTCTGGTGTGGTGGAGTTTACCTGGGCCAGTTTTGTGAGCACGGCACCTTCGACATTGCTGACCCCTTGAATTTTATGGAGAAGCTAACCATGGAATGGCGCGCCGAAGTGAACCGCCAAGATACATCCATGACCTTTGGTCAAGCGCGACAAATCTTGGATGTTACTGATGAGGAGGGTATGCAAAATTCTGATGCTACTCTTCGTGCTGGGTTCAAGGAGAAGGGTCGAGCTCTTATTCAGTCAAACATCTCTGCGAGCACATACTCTGAAAGGTAAGCATTATGCATCGTGCATGCACGTTGGTTCACTTGTAACACTAACGATGTTTGTTGCGGGTGGTAACAGACTGGACGAGCTGCAAGAGGCGTACCGAGTTCTTACATGCCCACGACCAACTTTATTGTCCGCTGGCCATGACCCTGAGAACCTGCTGCTTCTGCTTCACTCTTTAGTCATCATGTGCAATCGCTATCCAGAACAGCTCGTAGACTATGAGTTTGACGCTTACGATCTTCTGCTTCCACTACTGGACTCTCACTGCACAGCGGATGGAGTTCCCCCAGAAGGCACCACAACAGCTCAGACCCTTGAGATCTCCGTTTGCGCTGCAGAGCTGATCTACAACACGTGTGCAGTATCGGTAGCCAACGGCGAACTACTGCTTGAGCAGCCAGACTTGAATACTCTCGAGAAGGTTGTGAATTTCTGCGTTGATTCAATGGTTGGCTGTGAAGCGGCAGAAAAACCAGAATTGCTGGAGGTGTGCTTTTACTTGCTTCAAACTATCACGGGGCTCTTGGCATCACCTCGTGGAAGGGAATGGATTGCGGAGCCATCAACATTGCTGGTGGATATGGTTCGCATTCTGTGGATGTGGAACAATGCTGAACAGAAATCCTTCGTGATGGCGAAGCTTGCGCAGCAAGTTCTTGAAGGTACGTTCGATTCCGAATCATGGTTGCGTTCTTTGCTAACTCTTTGTTTGGCTACAGGCATATCGAGAATGGCACAGCTGGAGAAAAACCAGCAACGGCTTGTCAAAGCTGGCGTGTTGTGGCAATTATTCAAGCTCTTTTCAACGTACGACGTAGAGTTGGACGACACCACCGTCCGCACCCGGTTGCAGCACAACGTTGAGACCGAGGAAGAAGGATATGCGACTGTGGCCGTGGAAATCCAGAACCTGTTAGCTGTCATGGCAGTTCGTGCTCTTTGCAGACTTGGAGGACTGTTTATCGACGGGAGTGAGCTCCAATCTCCACCCAATGCTTTGGTGAAACAGGTTGTCGACGCGCTAATGACGCCGAATTTGTCGGGTCTATTGCTACTGAGCAGCCATCACGAGTTCTTGAAGATCTTCCATGGCGAATGCGAATCCTACACGCTGTTTTGGAATAGTGAGATGCGACAAGAGCTGATGAATTTCGTATCCCCAAGGGCCAGTGTCGAGCCTGCAATGACGACGAACGAACAATACGTCGACGCCATTAAGTTCCGGTTCATGTATCTGGCAGACCTGTTCTATGTCGGCGGTCTCTACATCGAAATGCTCATGGGCAGTCTTCTCGTCATTGAGAAAAGCATGGTCCCAGCGCCCATCGCTGAGCTGGGACTTACCGAAACATTCTTCAAGGAGTTGTTCTCGTTCATTGACAGTGGAGAGCTTGTTTATCCTGAGTTTGTGAACGAAGAGGGGAGTGTGCAGCGGCTTCCTCCCTATGCTGGCTGGAATATCGACGAAGAGCAGCGAATTACATTGGACAGAGTTACCGCTTTGAACTGTTTGTCGATTGCAACTTCAGTGGCTCCGACACTGGTGGAAAAGAACCTGGTGGCAAACGACAGCGCCATGAAGATGGTGTTACGTCTTCTATTCCCACCGGACAATGAAGTCCATCAGAGCGAAGACGCCGAGAAGAGCCTTGTGCTAACCCAGCAGTTGTATGTGCCGTGCCGGTTGCACTGCATTGCGACACTTCAAGTCCTGTCGACACTAGAAGACTTTAGCACAGCCGCCCTGGAATTCGGAATTTGTGATATCCTCATCGAGTTGGTTCATATCTGCCAAGACGTGGGGCCTGATGCACTCGGGATTATTCGCAATCTTTGTGCGAACGGAGCTGCGGCCAAGTGTGTTTCAGAAATCCTCCAGTCCGGAGTCTACTTGGAATTCATTGGGTGGTTGTTGCTTGTCGAAGAAACCATCGTCGACGACGAGTTTGATGCAGCCGAGCGGTTGCGTATCCCGTCCGCCATGATTCTCTCTGAATTGGTCAAGGATGGAGCACCGCTGAACATTGAGTCGAGGCGCGCGCTCTGCCGCTTCTTCCCTCCTGCTATCATTCGGACAATTGCTTCATGTCCAGACACCATCGTGGAGTATATTATGGTGAGATGTGTGCTTCGTCCGTTCTCCGTTTAGAAATTTTCTCACAGGTTGTTGTTTCCGTTGTGTAGGCCGACCACAAGACGCCAGAGCTCGTATGGAACGCCGAGTTCCGCAACCATCAGCGAAATAGTATCGTCAACTTCCTCAACATCTACTTCTCGTCAACATCGATTACTGAGACGGAGGACGGGAACTTCACGTCCGTGGTTGACTCGTTTGAGATCGATTACACGGGCTTGTATCCAGCTCCGATGGCTGGCAATGTCTATCTCACGTTGTACATGGAAGACCCCACTTTCAACCTGCACGATCCTCTGTACGTGTTTACTTGCGAGGATAACAAATTTGATCTCGTACTGACGGGTATGCTTCATATTTTGCAGGTACTTCATGACCTGTTTGTGGTCGGAGTTCGAAGTATTGTTCAAGCAGCTCGCTCACATGACATCAGCACTTCGCGCGACGATGCCTCGTGCGGACGACGAGATGATACAGCGTGATATTAATCTGATTGATCTTGTCGGGTCTTCACTAGTGTGTCTACTACAGGTAACATATGCCTTCACCACCGCCACATTACTCAAAAGAGTACTAACCTTCTACTACGATTTTTTCAGTTTGAGACACCATTACTGGAGAACGCAGCGGAGCTCCAGATCCCTTCGAAATGCTGCGAGTATCTGAACCAAACAGTCCGTTCTCAAGCGTGTGAGCCGTGCGTGGTCAACGTTGTTCGAATCCTTCGAGTATGCACAATGTCTCGAACGTGCATTGCGTCGATGCAGTCAATGTGTTCCACAGCATTGTCGTGCTTGATGGCGATCATTAACCCCATTCGAGGAGGCCCTCTTCACTGTGAGAGTGCGTTTGTGCTGGAGATCATGCGACGAATCGTGAAGGATTATCCCGAGCACGGCGATAGAGACGCGAGCGCTGGTATTGTGTATCTTGCAAGTCGGTTGGATCTGTTCGGCTTCCTCTTGAACATTCTAGAGAACCCCGACAGCCTCGGAAAGGTGAAGGAGCAGCATATCGTCCGCGCTGAAGCGATCGAGATTTTGAACATGCTGGAAAAGGTGCGGATTATGAAGTACTTCAAGCACGGTCATGTAAAACTAAACTTTTGCTGTTTTATTTTTTGTACAGGACCGTGTCCAAGGAAGCACAGCCCACCAGATTTTGAAGAAGCACAAAAAATGGCAGAAGAGCTACCGGCACGAAGCCACCGACGTAGTGAAGGCCATGGCGACTGAAGACCCATTTTTGAAACTCTTGTTCCCCGAGGCAGACCGCGTGATGCGCGCGTTAGTGTAGGTGTCGGCTTGCTGATGACCAGAGGGGTGCAAGTGCCATCGATTTTGCTTGTAATGATCAGATATTATTGTCTGTATGTCCACCGCCCCGCCGCAAAAGGTCGCTGCTCATCAAACGGGACCACTAATAGTCGCTATATCCTTCGCATTTGAGTCCCTACTTTTTGATACGACAGCAAGATGGCGAGCCGAGCGGTGCGCCTTGTGACTTGCTGGCTGATGCTACTGATAAACATGATGGTGAGAACTGACGCTCAATCGAGCAATCCCTCGATAATTGCTTGGGGGTCGGCTACAGGAGGGACGTTGCACATTCAATGGTACGCTCAACTTGGAGTACTTGACTGAGCACTGTGCTAAAGAATAATTGTTATCTATGCTGCTTGGCAACCACAGGAACCTATCAACAGCATTGGATCCCGATGAGCTTGAAGGATATCACGTGATTGTGAATAACCAAGAACGAGCGACTGTCGGCCCTGATGCGAGTAGCTACTACCTTTATGGACTGAGCAACAACACGGTGTACTCTTACCAAGTAAAAGCCATCCTAGCCAATGGATCTGAGCCGTTGTACTCGGATGTGGTTGCTGCAACGACGCTGAATCGCACAGCGCCGAATAGTCCAGATATCCCTACGAAAGTAACTGTGAGTGGTGGTTTTGTTCAAGTGAGCGTCGAGACCCCACACGACACAGGCGGCGTCGCCCTTAGCAATGTGACAGTCGTGGTTAGCGACATTTATGGCGTGGTGACAAGCCAGACTCTGTCCGTCACCAGCTCAGGCGTGCTTGTCTTCAACAGCTACGGCTTGAACGCTCGCACGAAGTATTGGATCTCGGCTTTTGCGACCAACGAAGGTGATCTAGTGTCATCAAACAGTGACCCATTAGTGATAACAACCACGGCGCTACAGCTTCCTGGCCCATGCCCTCCACCCACAGTGGTAAAGGCAACAGGTGCGATCCTACTTGCTTTGTGTCGTAAGGGGTAACATCTTATCGTATGTCTTCTGGCTGATTCAGGTGCCTCTGTTCTTCTGCAGTTGAATCCACCACTCGATGACGGTATTTCCTAGCTGGTGCGGTGGAGGGTTTAGTGCTCTTTTCACTCTGCTAACAGTTTAAATCTTTGGCCTTAGGTGGAAGTCGTATCCAAGGTTACAACGTCTACATAGCTGCAGATGATATTAGTGATTTCACTGAAGTCACCACGACAATTGACACCGATAAAATCGATGCAGTGGAAATTTTATATTCCTCCGACTCAGACGATGAACCACTTCTCCCGAATACCCGATATTTTTTCAAGGCAGTGGCAGTCAACCTTGCGGACATTTGTATCTCAGTGCCGATCAGTCTGCAGCTGACGAATGGGACGGAAGCTTGGACTACTGCAGCTTCTGTTCCTGGGGCACCACCAAGTCCATACTTCTTGAAGGCAACCGGCGGCATGATTACGATGCTTCTATTGAAGCCGACAAATATGCAAGGTGTAAATTGTACCGGATTTTCGATAAAGATTGGTGATGCCGCTGGAAATTATTTCGAGAACAGCGTTGACGCTGACGACGACGTGATGTTTAACGCTACATCTCTGCAATCAAACTCTAGCTACGCAGTCTTTGTTGCGGTTATTACGGATCTGGGGACCTCTTTGTACAGTGCCCCAACCATCATGAACACGACAGTGCCGACAGCCCCGTCAAACCCTCGCGATATAGCTGTAACGAATGTTACTGAAAGCAGTGCACTGCTGGAATGGTCATCGCCTTTTGATAGTGGAGACGCTGAGATAACAGGTACTGAGGATGTTTGATTAGCAAATTCTGCATCGCAGGACTAATCTGCTTTGTGATGTGAACAGGATATACGATCATTTTGATGTCACCCGGAAGACAGGAGGAGATATCGGCGATATCGTCTCCCATTCTGATTGAAAACCTTGCTGCCAACAAGATGTACACTGTAAAAGTGACTGCTGCCAATGCCGCTGGGAAGAAAAGCGCTAGCACTATCGGTGGATCGTTTAGCACACTGTCATTAACACCTCCAGGTAAGCCATTGGACATAGCGTTGATCTTCGCCACTGGAGGAGCTATCGAGATTGCGTGGAATCCATCCCAAAACCGAGGAGGTGAATTGCTGTCCGCAATTGAGTATAAAACCACAGCTTTCCGCGCTACTCCATGCTTTAACAGCAGCATCTCGAGTCCGTGTTCGGCGTGTAATTCCGTGAAGCTAAAAGACACTCAGTACCAACTGATCGAGGACGCATTACTGTGCCAACAACCTACAACACAGTGCCCCGATAGTACATTTAATTGCTGCCTTACTCGCCATGGTAGCAGTCATGGGTTCGGTCTTTCGTGTGGATTAATGACACCAGTAACAGGACCACGAGCGGTGGTGGGCACAACATCAGCAATTTTTAATGGGCTGAACTACTCGTCAACCTACTATTTCAGTGTGCAAGCAAGCAATCGTGCTGGAAAGAGTACGATATCCGAACTCCAGGGATTCCAGACGACGTGAGCAGACTGAAACACATACAATCTATTTTTCCGTCACCTGCTAACGAAATTATGATCGTTATTTTATCATGTAGGGTTCAAACCTCCCCATCGTATCCTGCAAGTTTGCGTCAACTTGGAGCAACAGGTGGATCGATTCAGTTCACATGGGATTCTCCGGTGGTATGTTCTTCGGCTCATGGCTTTGGTGCACAGGTCTAACGTCATGCTTTGCTGCAGGATACTGGAGGTGGCCCGGTTGTTGGGTATCGCGTATATCGAAACTACGAACTGTTAACACCCAGATACGTTATGCCTCCGTACAGTGATTGTAGTGGGATGGCGGCGGAAACGACCTATGTGTACGGTGTTGCTGCTGTAAATGCGTCATTGGTCGAAGGTGCTATGGCTGTTATAAAGCTTTCCACTGAAGCTCTGTCGACTCCAATGGCACCGACGTTTTCTCTAATCGGGAGCATGTACAACCGTTTGCAAGTGAGCGTGACTCCACCCTGCGACACGGGAGGAGAGCCTTCACTGAGTTACCAGTACATGGTGAAAAATGCTGGAACTGTCGTTGATTCAACCAGCTTTAATTGCTGCAGTTTTGTCCTGGAGAACCTGGAACCGAATCAGTCTTATTCTGTTCTAGTCAAAGTGGAAAATTCCCTGGCTGCGCCATCTACCTGGGCTCAAGCGATGTTTAAGACTGCGTCTGGTATCCCACCAACCCCTGTTGCTACGTTGCTGCAAGTGAACACTTACAGCGCAGTTATAGCAATCGGGTCAAAACCTTACGACAAGGACACAAGATCATACGATGTATTTCTTCGGCGAAACGGTATTGAGATCCAGAACTACACTGTATCATGCGAAGAAGACGCCATCTTTGACCATTACGTTTGTCCGACTTCATACAAGTTGGAGATGTTGAAGGCAACGACTGAGTATGAAATCAGTGCTCAGGCCAATGGTCCGCTTGGATCAAGTGCATCGAACCCTGTTTCCTTCAAAACTAGCGATATCTCGCCTGGTACGTTTGCTTGTGCTATGATTCACTCATAGGTAGCGGCATTTTTCACCCGTGTTGTCGATATATTCAGGTGCATTTGGGATGGCAGATACCAACTACAATGCAGATAAAGACGGGATCATCAATACAGTTGTGCGTCGAAGCAACGGGACGTCAGGGGCTGTTGAGGTGGGCGTACATGTGACTGGCCCTGACACGGTTTTTCTGCGCTGCAAGCGTGCAACAAGCGGTGGTTGTGATTGCACTTTGTACCTGATTTCATCTGAATCTGTTCCACTGCCATGCTACTTGTCGTTTGTCGATGGACAAGAAAATGCTAGTGTGGCATTTTCGATGTGGGATGATCAATCGGCAGAGCTGCTTCCATCCCAAGTTGTGGTGTCCCCATTTGGAGTTGATCTATCTGGGCAGCATTCAGCAGTCTTGCATATGGATGCTCGACAAGAAGCGGGCTTTGTGTCATTTCCCGCGAGCTCTTCTGTCATTTATGAAGACTCTTCATTTGTCATGATAAACGTCTTGCGTCTCAATGGAACGACGGGGAGAGTTACGTTCAGCTTTGAGTCATTTGACATTACCGCAGTTACAGGGGAAGATTACGTTGCTGTGAGTGGAACTATAGTACTGACAGACCAACAGAGCAGCACGCAGATTTGGGTGCAGCTGATCGACAACCTCGTTGTCAACTCTGATAAAGTATTTGGTCTTCGCTTGACTGGTCAGACCGAATTAACCGGTGCAGATCAACTTCTGACGCATAATGTGACGATACATGATGACGAGAGTATCTCGAGCGCTGTGCCCAGAAAAACTGATAACATCTCAATTGTTTACTCGACTGGAGGAGAATTTGAGATTGGATGGACAAGCACTGCTTCTGATGGAGTTAACGTTACGGGATACTTGGTTCGTGTCTCGAATGCAAGCTTGGGAACGTTTTATAGCGTCTTCAACACGACACAAACAATTTTTACGTTGTCGGGGCTCTCAGCACGAAGTATTTATCTCGTCGAAGTTGCAGTTTGGAATCATTTTGGCGTGGGGGAATACTCTGATGCTGTAGAAGTTGCAACAACGGATGCTACTCTTCCAAGCTCCCCGCTTTCGTTAAGTGCTACAGATATTTTCAACACAGAGGTGACACTGACGTGGAAACCCCCTCGAGATGACGGCGGAAGTCCAGTAGTGGGATACCATCTTTCTGTCGAAGACATGGATGGAAATCTGTTGCTGTCGGAATCGATCAATGCTACAACTTTGCTGGTGGTTGTGGACGGCTTAAACGCCTCCAGCTACTACGATTGCTACGTTTCCTGCAGTACTGAGTCATTTCCAGATAGTATGGATGACACATCCACGGCACAAATACGTATTAAAACTGCGATTGGAGTAGCTCCAAGTGCCCCTCCGGCTGTGACTCTTGTAGGACAACCTCGCGGAGGAACACTTGTATTCTTAATGCGGCGACCCAGTGATAAGGGCGGTATGCCGTTATCACATTGCGCGCTCTATCTCCGGAAGACCACCGATACTGCCTCTACTACAAATGAAGTATTCACGATTGCATGCTCGATGGATTTGTCGGCATTTGAGGATGCAGATCCTACGTGTACGAGCAGCAATCTTTTGGTGAGCACAAGCTACGAAGTATATACAGTTTTCTCCAATGCTATGGTACGTCTTGTGTCGATCTGCTCATGATCTTGTCGCTGACTTCTTGCTGCTTTGTCACATTATAGGGAGAGAGTCCACCAGGAGAGTGTGCAGTTTTCATAACCAACTCTGTCATCGCCTTACCATCGCCACCTCTAAATTTGCGTGCTCCTACAATTACAGCTGGCAATATCGTGCTTGAATGGGATGAGCCTGATGATCTGGGAGGGGCTGCGGCCGTTATTGGATATATCGTTTATCAAAAGTACGACGTTTGGAACGATGACTACTTTACTCTTTACGATGGCCAAGATTCCAGGGATCGAAGCCTCACAGCTAGAGGACTAACGAGGAATTTGACGTACTTTTTTGCTGTCGTCGCGCTCAATGACGCCAGCTTTTGTGTTGATCCTGATCAGCACAATATGAGCTCCTTTTTGGAAGTATCGACCCTCACCTCCAGCCCACTGGCGCCCCCGGGACTGGTTTATCGTATTTCAGCTACGGGAGGTGCAATAACGATCGGCTGGACTGTTCCCGATGATCTAGCCGGACTGGAATTGCAAGGATACTACGTTGAATTGGTAACAACTATTAGCTCCAGTGGCTTTGAACTACTAAGCAGTTTTCCGCCTGGTGTGTCGAGTTTTACCCATTATGGACTTTCCGAAAGCGCAAGTTATAGTTATGCTGTTACTGCTACGAACCAAGAAGGATCCAGTGAGAGAAGCATGATTCTAACTACATCGACGTCTATTGCTTCAAGACCGACTTGGGTACAAAGTTTTCGTTCCGTGAACAACACTGGCGGCAGCATCACTCTAACGTGGGACCCACCCCAGGACACGGGAGGGCGACAAATCGAGCATTATGAAATTACTCGTACTGGCCGCTCTACTAGCTACGTTGCGACAAGCACCACGTTTGAAGACCGTTCTGGTTTAAGTGCTTCGAGCGGCTACACGTACACGATAGCGGCGTTTAACGGATTGTACAGTGGCTACGCAACCTCTGCCAACGCTGTAACTGGATTGCCTGTCATTTCAGATCCTCCAGTATTTGAAAGTGTTGCCTCTTTCGGCGGACGGCTTGAAGTCTCGTGGGTGGCGCCTGAATTCACTGGTGGAATATCAGTCACTGAGTATGTGATTACACTGTTTATTGGAGATGAGTCGGCCGCAGTCGAGTCAATAACTACGACAGCATTATCCTGTACCTTCATGAATCTCACAGCAAGTACACCTTACGTATTATCTGGACAAGCAGTGAATGATCAAGGTGAAAGTCTTCTTGTGAAGTTTACAGTTGAGACAGCATCCCCTGATGATCCGGATGCTCCACCGATCCCTGAAGCAAGTAACACTCGAGGTGGAAGTGTGGAAATTCACGTCGCAATGCCAAATTATACTGGTGGCGAGGAAGTTACGTTGATTTTGTATCAGGATGACACGCGCGTGTATACTTTTGTAAACGAATGGGGTGTGACGATCTATGGATTAGTAGCAGAGACCGTCTATACGTTCAAAGTTTCTGCGAAGAACTCAGCCGGTGAAAACAAAAGCGAATCATTACCAGTCACCACAACCGCGATTTCCACGCCAGGTCAAGTTCAAAACCTTCAAAAAGTATCTGTCACATTCAGCCGAATGACATTGACGTGGGATACAGTTCAGGATACGGGTGGAGACGAGCATATTCAGTATGAAGTGACGTTCTTCAAATGTGATAGTACAGGTGTACTAGAGGAGGATCCGCAGATGAAGATGACTGACTCTACTAGAATTGTGCTTGAAGACTTGCAGCATTCGTCCTTCTACAGCATAAGTGTGGTGGCGATAACTAGCACCTCTCTTGTCGGAGATGTCAGTTCATCGGTACTGGTTGGAACCGAGCAGCCTTTCGAAGGGATAATTGTTGCTGCGTCTTCGGAAATGGCAGTGAAAGAAGACGCAGGGATCGTGTATGTACCGATAACCCGAGTGAATGGATCGTTCGGTAATGTTTCATATTCGTTCGACGTTGTTGCTGGATCAGCGCTAGATGGAGTAAATTACGTTCGCGCGACTGGAACGAGAACATTGATGGCAAATGTTGTGTCGGACTCTGTCGATATTTCGGTCATCAGCGACACAGTGTACAACCCTGGCATTACATTTCAGGTTGTCATCACGGATTCAACCACTGCGCTACAAAGTACTACCGATGTTTATCTGGAAGATGACGGTGACGCTGGGTTTGTTTCGTTTGCTGATCCAGCGCTTATGGTTTTGGAGAATAGCGGGACTGCTTACCTCACGATGACTCGAACGGGAGGATGTAGTCCAGGAGCAGTTATCGAGACTTTCGTGAGCAGTAACTATAGTGTGGTTAATCGATTCCAGTTGGTGGATGTAACAGTTGTATTCGAAGAGAACGTCACACAACAAACAATCTCGGTTAGTATCGCGGATGATTCTGAGTTCCAATACGTCGCCGACAGCATCACGATAGGCTTTCATATTGTCGAAGGTGGAGTACTAAACGGAACGTACACTACGGCAGCGGTGACTGCGCTTGATGATGGAGATATCTCGTTACCTAAGCAGTGCTTAAATCTTCAAAAAATATTGGTTTCAGGTGGGGCTTTGGGACTACAGTGGACGCCACCAGTCGATCGAGGAGGTGCGGATATCACTTTGAGTTACTTGGTGAGCGTAGTGGCTGGAACTGGGATTGTCATCACGAAGGAATCCCCGACTGAAACGATAACCTTGTACGGATTGAACCAGTCAACAACCTACCAGTTATCAGTACAAGCTGTGAATTCTGCTGGAGCTGGAGTATCAAGCACGTCTTTGCTCATCGCCACACGTCCTGCAACAGCACCGACTGCACCTCGTAACATTCAAGTTGTAAGTGCGTCAAGTTCTAGCGTACTCATTAAATGGGACTCTCCGTTGGACGATGGTGGGTCTCCGATCGTCGCTTACAAGATCTACAAGGTACAAGAAACCACCACTAGTACGCGGTCGCTCTTTTCGTCAGTTTCCTGCTCAACCCCGACGGTGTGCACCATCAAGCAACTGCTAGCTCTGACATCGTACAGCATTCAAATTCAAGCATCCACAGCATTCGTGACGCAAGGTGAATTCTCCGAAGTGGTAGCGCTCACTACGTCAAATCCTGACTACCCTGACATGCCACCAGTAGCTGCTGTTACATGGGCTAGTGCAGGAGCCATGACCGTCGCAATGTTCGACCCAGTCAACGTTGGAGGGTCCATTATTCAAGAGTACCGGCTTTTCATGAGGGCAGATGATGAAGTTGAGTTTGCTCCAGTCTACAGCGGTGCGTCTGCAGAGCACACGGCTTATCGCTTGAGTTACCAAACCGTCTATCACATCAAGTATCAAGTCGTGAACTCTGTCGGTCCGAGTGCGTACAGTCCGGTCATATCAAACCAAACGCTGCCCAAGTCGCTACCAAGTGCACCAACTAATGTCAGTGTCATCGATAAGACCGGAGGTGCAATAACACTGGCATGGAATGAGCCACTTGACGTTGGTGGGCGTGAAGTTACAGGTTACACGATTAAGATCGCTTCAATCGGTAGCAACGCAACAAATGTCATTGGATACGACGGAAAAGGTATTCTCGCTCGAGAAGGAACAGTCTACGGACTGGCAGCTAACACTGACTACAGTATGCAAGTAGTCGCATACTTGGACGTATCGAGCTGCTTCGATTCAGCGCTACAAGCGTGGAGCTCGGTTGTTCAAGCCTCTACCACAACTGCAACACCTCCGCGAACAGCTCCAGAGCTTCTTGTTGGCCACTACACGGGAGGAATCATTGAGTTGGTCTGGATTCCACCGAAGGATAAAGGAGGTGTTCCTCTTACAGGCTACACCCTCTATCTAAATTCTAAAGAGCTTTCAAGCGTGATTTTCTCGACCAACAATGCGAGTGTACTGTCATTCGTACACAACGATCTCACGGCGAGTACGAAGTACACGTATGCGATCAAGACATCGAACGCTGCTGGCGATAGTCCACTCAGTTTGCCTCTCATGGCTACGACAGACATGATCACTTTTCCTTCAGCACCTTTGAACGTTCGACAACTGACTTATACTACTGGAGGTGCAATCACGATTGGATGGGACCGCTCGTTTGATACTGGAGGACAACCTATAGCTGGATATATGGTGTATCGAAACGGAGACCTTGTGAGCGGGACGTTATCTGCAGATACGAGGAGCTTTACCAACAAAGATCGTTTGACAGCTAACACGAGTTACAGCTACAATGTTCGAGCCATCGCTCAGAATTTAATGGTATCTGTCTCCAGCGAAGATTGCTCTGCTAAAACAACGGCAGCGACGAAACCACAGAAGCCACAGTCACTCTCTGCTGTTCCGGGCTCTAGTTTTCTGAACGCATCATGGATACCCGATGGAGACTCTGGAGGACTACCAATAACATCCTATGGCCTGAAGTTGATGCTAGGTTCGTTGCTAGTGGAGAACGTCACTGTGAAGACTGCTTCGTACTATCTCTTTACTGGACTTACCGCCAGCACGTCGTACAGTGGCTACGTTAAAGTCAATAACGACATCGGTACAAGTGAAGAAGTTAGTGCCACGTTGACAACGACCTCTGTGTCTGTGCCAAATAGTCCCAATAAACCCTTGGTTACGTCTGTTTACGGCGGAAATTTCACGATTCAAGTCGAGCCACCGCTGTTCACTGGAGGATCCCCCGTAACTGACATGAAAATCTACGAGTATATCCTCGATGTTGCAAAGTTGAAGACGACTCTGAAGGTGGTTCCTGGGAGGCCAACAAGTTACACATTTTACAATGTTACTGCATCGTCGAAGTACCCAGTGGCTTGTTCAGCTGTCAATTCGGTTGGCGAAGGACTTTTAAGCGACACCGTGACAATTCAAACAACCCCCCAGAATCAACCAGGGCCAATCTTGACAGCCCCAGTTCCCATTGGCGCTACAGGTACAGCGTTATCGATTTCTTGGAGTCCACCAGCTGATACCGGTGGTAGCTTGGATTTATCGTATGAAGTTCGAATTGTGAACTCTAGTACGGATGCGACCAACCCGACAATTAACCTGACTTACACTGCGACACAGCTCGCTTACAGCAGTGTTTACAGCTTTTCGGTCTGTGCGGTAAATAAGAATGGACATGGAATATGGAGTCCTGCTCGAACCATAACGACACAGCCTGACGCTGCCGGTGAATTCAATTTTGCACAGTCTAGCATGTCTGTACTCGAGAACGCAACGCAAGTAGCTCTTGTGGTACAGCGAACTTCTGGTCTTAGCGGCCGGATTACGGTTTTCTATTCAACTGAGTCGACAGGAACGCGGCCTGCTACCATCGGCTCCGACTATTTTGTCGCTAAAGACTCCAGCATAACCACAGGGACGATTGTATTCGAGTCACTGCAGAGTCAAAACTCTATCGTGATCCTCATTACCAACGACGCAGATTACGAAAACCCTGACGAAACATTCGCTGTCCGTTTCACTGGTGTCGAGTCTTCACTAGCAGAAGGGAGACCCAAAATCGGAAGCAATAATGTTACTACAGTAACCATTGTAGATGATGGAGATGCTGGCTTCGTCAGCTTTGAGAAGCCGGCGTACGCCTTCTCCGAAGATGCTCGAACTGGAACTGTTACTATTATTCGCGAATATGGTAAAAGTACTAGTATTACACTCGGTTTTGACTTCTGGGGTGGTACAGCATCACCAGATATCGATTATAGCAAGACAACAACTCCGGTTGTGATGGACAGTGGCGTCACGAAAGCGAATTTCACGTTCTCCATCATTAACGACAAGCTATTTGAATTCCCCGACGAATATTTCTTCATTCGGATGACAGTAAGCGGTGGGGCAAGGCTTCACCAGCCTGTTACGCGAATTACGATCCTCGACGACGGGGATATCTCGGATCCTGGTACTTGTCCGCCACCTCAACTTTTATCGGTAACAGGAGGTTTAGCTACGTTCGCTACGGACTTTCCTGATCACAATGGCAGTGCAACCGGAGCCATAACGAATTATATGGTACGTCTTAGCACTGAAACGAGCTCAATGGACTTCACTAAAGCTGTGGCACCAACATTTTCGATCGGAAACTTGACCGCCATGACATCGTACAATGTTACGATTGCTGCCACGAACTCGTTTGGATTGGGAACATTCAGCAACTCTACACAGTTTTCAACAATAGCGCCATCGCTTCCTGGTGCCAGTACTTTGGTGTCTATTGAATCACGTACAGGAGGTCGAATTTCCTTGGCGTGGTCTCCTCCTGAAGACTCGGGCGGGGTTCCAATCGCCAAATACCGTGTCTACATCGTAGGAAAATCTGATGTCCCGCAGGTAATTCTATTTGTGTTGATCAGTAAGCTTGTGTGTATATCTGACGTGATGATTTTTGTGCGTTAGCTTGCTGCTGACTACTTGCAGCCAACTCAACGCGGAACGATTTACGGACTAAGTGCTAGTACAGCATACAATTTTTCTGTCCAGGTAACATGTCTAGCGTTTTGTTTTGAATATCGTAGACTTATTAACCTCGTGCATTGTAGGCTGGCAATGCAGTCGGTGAAAAGAATGGATGGGGCAATTTGAGTGCTTCCTTCCGTTTCTATACTACGTTAGCCACTCAACCTGGGCCTCTTATTCTTCATTCAAATGCATACAAAAAAGCTACCGGAGGGAAAGTTTTCCTCAGCTGGAATGCACCACTCGACACAGGTACATCTCGCCCACTTTTTCTTCTTCTTTTTTTTGCTCTTGTGTGAGTAATAACCTTATTGTGATTGTTGTGATTGGTGTAGGGGGTACCATGATTTCTTCGTATTCCATCTTCGCGAGAAGTTTCTCGCGTCCGTGGTTTTTGTCCGCAACAGCTTCACCAAATTCGGGTCCGTTATTTGCCGGAGTTGCAGCGCTGAATGCCAGCACTGCTTACGAATTTTTCGGCTTAGCAGCGAGCTCAGTGCCGTCCATGATCCTCCCGGGAAAGTTTTCCATCGCAGAGGGATCACGAACTCTGCGCACATCGGTTGATCTATCGAATAGACTGTCGATTGGGTCGGTCATCTCAATTCAGGTCAGTACTGCTGTTGATAACGCACTAGTCTATCTTAATTATGCTAATACCTTGTGATTGTACCGCTAGGATTCTGTGTTTGTAGTCGATGACATGTCGAGTGCAATATCCGGAACTATTTTACTGAAATATGACCACGTGACGACTTCGATAATAAGTCAATCTGGAAGAATTATGGGTCAAGCCACGACGTTCACTACACTGAATACTTCAGAGCCAACTCTACCGGATCTCCCCCCTGCTCCTGTGTTGTCAATATCCACAGGAGGGATGATAAATGTAACGCTGCTTTCGCCTGAAGATACAGGTACAACTACTCCATTCACTTTAGGTCTTAATGACAGTCTAACATCTGTCTGTATCCAGGTGGGATCCCGATCTTGGATTTTTCGCTCTATTGGGATGGACAGAAGCTGAATGAGGATTCCTACGTGAAAACAACATCAAAAGTGAATTATCTTCAAGTCAGAACGTTTGTGTCCGTGCCCAAGCTGAAAGCTCTGACAACTTACAACGTTAGCGCGGTGGCGCTGAATTCCCTTTCGCTCTGTAACTTTGGACGAGTTACTACTGGACCAAGTAGCCTGTTCACCACAATTAAAGTTACTGCTCCTGGCGCGCCGCTTTTAGTGACGTACAGAACAACTGGTGGTGGGATTACGATGAGCATGATTGACCCACACGACACAGGGGGCAGCGAGATCCAGCAGTATCAACTTTACTATAAGCGGAATGAATCTGCTGACCCATGGCAGCTCGTCTACAATGGACCCAAACATCAGGCCACTATCGCGCGCTTGAATAATTCAAGTGACTACGCCTTCGTGGCTTCCGTCTACAATGGAGAATTTACATCTATGAACTCTTCGGTTAAAGTTGTCCGAACAAGCAAGAATTCTCCTCCTGGCTCATGTGAAGCAGCCAGGCTTGTGAACGCTACGGGAGGCATGTTGAAGGTAGAATGGGACTATCCAGCTGACAATGGCGGGTCTGAAGTGACAGATTTCTACGCTACAATCGCTTCGCATTCGGATGGATCTGGTAGGACGACTGTGAAGACGAATACGACATCCTGCGCCTTCTACAGGTTACTAGCCGAATCGAGCTACGATGTCGTAATTCGTGCTAATAATTCGTATGGCTTGGGCCCTGAAAGTCCCATTGTAACGTTTAGTACGACGAAAGCAACGCCTCCAGAGGGTATAATTGACGTGACAGTACAGATGACCACGGGTGGGGCAGCAGAGATCTCATTTAGCGAGCCTATTGATCTCGGTGGAGCAATCTCGAGTGACATGATGTACAGCATTTATCTGGATCAAGACAACACCCTGAATGTTTCTTACGACAGCCTGGAAGAGAGTTCGAGTTTTCCTATTGGAACGAGAAGGTTGAGTGAAAACATCCATCGACGATTGGAAACATCAACTACATTTTCAAATATTGTGGTGGGAGACATGGATCCAGATACTTTGTATGGGATCCAGATTCTCCCAATTAGTAAATATGCCAGTGGTGGGATCTCTTCCACATTTGCGGTCGAGACAACTAGTGCATCGATTCCGAGCGCTCCCGTTGGCTTGAGTCGTGATTTTGGGACAGGTGGGTCGGTGTCTCTGTCGTGGGGACCACCGGTAGATTCTGGAGGGATTCCTCTGAACGAGTATACATTGAGCATGTCCAATGTATCGAAGGATGGGCCTTTCACGAAAGTCTACGAGGATTTCCAAGCTACTACCATGATATATAAACTACTTCCCGGTACAACATACTGGGCTTACGTTACCGCGTGGAATGACGTCGGAGAATCTCCTCAAAGTGAAATTCTCACGTTTACCACTCGTAGCGTTACTGCCCCCAGTGCGCCGCAGAACCTCAGAGTTGTAACCGTGGGCCCCACTTCGATTGATTGCGCTTGGGAGATGCCGAGTGACATTGGAGGGGACGCAATCGACGTGTATACTATCACTGTGGTGACGGGTGACCCACCGATCGTTCTGACTTTCACTACAAGACAAACTTTTGCATCTTTGACTGGATTGAGCGCATCCACTTCCTATTCCATTTCGATGGTAAGTATCCTACAACGAGAGAGTAATGTCGATTCAACATCTGACGCTTAAAGCGTGTTTCTGTTGATGAATTATAGACGGCACAGAACACGTTTGGAGACTCTAGTCCTCCAAGTTTGGCTAGATACGCAAGGACATCCTCAGGCGCAAACATCCCGTCGACACCACAAATTGGATGCGGTAAGTCCAGCACGCCAGGTCATTATTTAATAAGTGTATTATTTATCTGTGTAAATGTGATCTCAGTGTCGCGCGATTCCGTGGAGCTTTCGTGGTATCCGTATCCTGGAGCTACTGCGACTTACCACGTCGAACGAGCAGGGGTAGATATCGGAACAACAACAAACTCGACTTTCGTAGACAAAACTACACTATCCACAGCGACATCCTACAGGATTTGGACTACACAATCAGCAGTCAGTGAACCAGTGACCGTGACGACATTGGATCCCTCGGAAAGCATACTTGACGCAATTTGTCAAGGAAGATCTGGGCGTATTCGCGAGCTCAATTATGCGAATAAGGTCAACAAGGAATGGAGAATCAGTCCCATGAGTTCGTACTCGTACATTACGCTAACGGTAAGTACTCCAAAGTAGGCTGTTATGATGGTATTGTCTTTGAATTTTTCACATATTGTGCAGTTTTCTACGTTCGAGCTTGAATGTGACCATGACTACGTGGAAATTCTCGACGCACAGACAAAGGAGCGTCTATGGAAAGGTGGTTGTATACGAATGGGGCGCTTCGTCTACCAAGCCAAATCTTCTGTGATTATTGCATTCACTAGCGATGCTAGCGTCACAGCAAAAGGCTTTGACCTGCACTACGAGATCGATGGAACAACCGAGATTACACGAATTCCCCTACCAGGGAATGGCATCGCGTGTTCAGGACACGGTCGTAGACAAAGTGACGGTAGCTGCAAGTGCAGCGTCGGATTTACCGGTGAAGGCTGCAACAACCGAATCGTGTGTTGTTCAGATCCTACACACTGTCATCACGCAGTGTGTGATCTGGATCCTGACAAGGTTTTTGTTGTATCGGGAGAATTCGGCGATGACGTGCAGGGAACTGGTCAAATGATGGATACGAATGAAAGAGGAACCGCTTCAAAAGCTGTGAAGACGATAACTCGAGCTTTGCAGTTAAGTAAACCGGGAAGTGCAATTCTCGTATATCCTGGAACATATTCAGGCTCTTTGAATCGCGATCTGAATGTGGACTCAGCAGTTCTGACAATAACCACGTTGAAAGGCCCATTCTGGACAAATGTTGACTGTGGTAAAGCATCGCGCTTTCTTTTTCTCTCGACGTCCTCTAAACTGTCGGTGGAAGGTTTGGCGTTTCAAAACTGTGTGGAGGCAGACGGCGGAGTATTCAAGATTATTGATGGAGAGTTTACCGGGACCAATTTGTATATAGCTGATTCTAGCGCAACTCATAACGGTGGAGCACTTTATGCCAGTGGTAGTACCATCACGCTTTCTCAGGTGGCAATGGCGGAAACCTCGGCTGACGCGGAAGGTGGGGCCTTATATCTTGAAGACTCAAATGCTTCTATGATTGAATCTAATGTGACCAAAAGTACCGCTCTTCACGGTGGAGCAGTGGCCTTAAAAGGTACTAGTTCACTATCTACGACGGACACTCAGCTCTTCGAGAATCTTGGATTAGAGAGCGGTGGTGGAATTTTTGTTGACGGTATTGTTATGCTCAAAGATGTGTACCTTGCCAATAATGAAGCATCAAGCGGCGGAGGACTTGCTATGAATAGTGGAGCGCTAGAAATGGAGAACTGTATCATCCATAACAACAAGGCTGAAATTGGTGGAGGACTCGCATTAAGAGGAAATTCAGATCTTGTCACGATAGGAACTTCCATTCAAAGCAACAAAGCAACTACAGGTGGTGGTGTATACGTCTCCGGCACTATCAGTATTGCCTTTGACAAGCAAGTCGTATCTCCTTCGACAATCAAATGGAACACAGCAAGTAAGTTAAGTGAATGGTATTAAATAACTGAGCGCTGTAGTATACTAACCTGTTATGGTACATAGTGAATGGAGCTGGAATTTACGTTTACGATTCACATGCAAGTTTTCATGACATTACTGTGGGGAATGGTCATGCGAACGAGTCCGCTGGCGGTGTAGCCATCGTGGATAGTACTGTTGAATGGTTGAACATGATTATTCAAGAAAACGAGGCGCTGGAAGGCGGCGGTCTCGTGCTAAAAAACTCGCAGCTGACTAGTAAAGGCCCAGTTCTCATTTCGGAAAATACTGCAGTAAATGGAGGCGGGATCTGGATGACCGCTAGTACGATGACTGGTTTGGTTGATACTCATTGTCTCCGTAACAAAGCCACCGAGAACGGTGGTGCGATATTCGTTGGAGGAGACGCTACAGTGAAAAATGTCAAGCAAGAGCTCAACGTCGCTCCCAATGGTGGATGTGTCTATGCGGAGAAGGCAAATATCAGTCTAGAGAACTGTGTACTCACCAAGTGCTCAGCTGACGTTGCTGGAGGTGGAATGTGGATGACAGATAGCCACATTACAGTGAAGAACGTTATCTTGGAACTCGGTACAGCTCCGGATGGCGGAGGGGTATTTGCTATGACGAGTTCCATTTCAGGTGACATGACAATTAAGGTCTGCACTGGATTAAACCATGGAGGGGGGATGTATTTGAGCGGAGAAACTTTGATTGCTGGGGTTTCTGTGGATAATTGCGATTCAATTAAGGGAGCTGCCGCATACGTCGTGGACGCTGATGTTATAGTGGAAAACAGCGTACTATCCAACTCCTACGCTTCCATTAACGGGGGCGGACTTTATATTGCAACTTCAACGATAGAACTGAAAGACACGAGCATAGTGGACGATACTAGCGCCATGCTAGGTGGTGGTGTTTACATGGAGAAATCAAGTATCATTCACGACGGTGCATTGATCGAGCGATGCGCTTCAAATCTTGGAGGCGGCCTGTATCTAAATGAGAGCAAAATATTAGCGAAGACGTTATTTTCGTCGTCGCAGGTGTCAACAAACAAGGCGTCGGACGCAGGTGGTAACTTGTTCCTGACAGAATTGTGCTCCGTCGAACAATTGATAATTTCTTCAGGTAAAGCGAAATCGGGTGGTGGAATGGCCATCGATAGTGGCTCCGCTACCATTCAGGGATGCTCGATAGTAAACAATTCGGCAGTATCTGGCGGGGGTATGAGCGTACAAACCGGTTCGAGCTGTAACTTGTTAAACTCGGTCGTATCAACGAACGTCGCTAATGAAACTGGAGGCGGTATCGGTATTGAGAACGCTAGTGTCTGGCATGACAATATGTCCGTGTTGTCTAATACAGCTCGCACAGGTGGGGGTGTCTTCGTTAAGGGGATGTCGACAATGTTACAACTAAGTAACAGCTCTTCACAATCAATAATTCGGGGGAACAATGCGAATCTATCTTCAGGTTACGGTGGTGGGATATACGCTGCGCCATCTAGTCAAGTAGAGGCCAGTGGACTTGCATTGCTGGATGGAAAGGCTTATCGTGGAGCTGGGATATACGTCGATGTTGCAGTATTTGTACTAAATGACGCATTGTTTCAAAATGGAAACGCATCAGATGGAGGTGGCATCTATGCTAGTTACGTTAGCAACGTAGAGTTAACTAACTGCTCTTTTATCAAGAACAACGCCTCTCAAACTGGCGGGGGAGTGGCGATGGGATCTGGCGTTGCAAAGGGAGACAGCAATACTCTGTCCATGACTAATTGCTCATTAACTGGCAATTCAGCTGGTACTGGAGGAGGTATAGTACTGTCGCTGACGAATATGAAAGGAGCGAACTGTCTCCTGAAAAATAATGCAGCAAAATGCGGTGGGGCATTTGCCGCCGTTAGTGAGAGCTCAGTTCAACTCATCAACTGGGAGTTCATTAACAATACGGTGGTGAAATATGAGCTGGGTATCCAAGGTGGCACGCTGTATATCACCAAAGGTGTCGTCACAATATCCGATTCAAGCCTTGTCAGCAACGAGAAAGCCACGTTGGCACTCAATGGTGGTCTGATCTACATCGAAAACGCCGATACAACCCTCAACGTTACCAACTCTTTGTTAGAATTTGGCCAAGCGTATACAGGAGGGTTAATCTACACCGCAAATGCTAAAGTGAACATCAGAAACTCAACGTTGCACCGGGGCTTTGGGTACGACTTTGGAGCTGGTATCTTTGCCGTGAACGCGCTTCTTGACATCTCCGGCAGTATTTTCCTTGATAATTTTGCCTTCTACGACGGCGGAGCAATTTATATGACCGACGGGGGCCAGTTGTCGATAGACAAATCATCTTTTGACCTCAATGAAGTTCAGGACCGTGGTGGTGCTATCTTTTTGGATCCTGGAGCGACAATCACAGCTACAGTGTTTAACTCAAACTTTACCCGGAACAAAAACGTCGGTTTTGGCTCGACAATTTTCATAGGAAGGAAAAACACAGCTCAGTTGATGGGCTGTATTTTATCTGGTAACGGAAACGACGACACGGAAGGAGGCACACTCGCTGTAGTTGATGCAATTGTGGAAATCGAAGATTCTTTTTTCGAATTCAATATTGCTTCGAAAGGGGCTGCTATACAGATTAGTCGATCGGCGAATCTAACGATGCGGCAGACGATCATCCGAAACAATTCCGCTATTTTCCAGGGCGGCGCTTTACATGCTTCGATCCGAGCTGTCGCTACGTTCACTGACTGTACCATCGAAGGAAATATTGCAGGGGAAGGAGGGGGTTTCTATGCAATGGGTTCTGCTGTTATTACGGTAGCTAATTCAAATTTGACCGCCAATAACGCAAATGCTTTCGGTGGTGCTATTTCAATGAGAGGAAGTGCCGAGTTAACCTGCACGGGAAGCTTCATGACAAGGAATCAAGCGTACACTGGCGGTGCAGTTTCGATTCAGGAGAATGCCTCCTTTTTGATCACTAACAGTGGATTCCAAGATAATATTGCAAGCGACTTTGGAGCTGGTATCTTTGTTGATAAGAGTACAGAAGCGAAGACTCAAATCATGGTCTGCAGAAGCTCTCAGTTTGGCGGGAATACAGCTGCAGCAGGAGCTGACATCTTCTGGGTATATTATCCGTGGTTTATGTTCGAATGCAACGCCTGTAGCAAAATAAGAGACCCTGATACCGTCTTAATTTCTACGAGTGCAATGACAATCACTCCCGGATGGTGGCCTCCCAGCGTCACGAGCGGTGTAAGTCTAGGAGTCGACGTTAAACTTGATTCCAACTCGAGTTCTGGACTGGCACCAACACCGATTACTTCGACTCAAAATGCAGCTATGAATTCGAGCTTAACAAAGCCAGGATCAGGTGTGCTTTGGCCCACAATTGTGGTTCGAGACTACTATGGTGCGATCGCAATTTTTGACAATGTGACGCGATGTCGAGCATCCTTAGCGGTTGGTGAACAAGGCCCGTTTTCTTTTTCTCCAACGACGTGGGTAACGGTTGATGCAGGGTACATCCTCTTCCAGGACGCCGAAGTACTTTCAAAATCTAGAGACTACCCGTACAAATTGACAGTCAACTGTACACTATCCCCAGTTCTTCAAACGCAAATTACTGTTGATGTGACCGTCGACAAGTGCAATCCCGGCTACGAAAACGTCAATGGGTAAGTTTCACGTACACTTAATAATATTATTCGGAAACTTACATCCCTATTCCAGGCTATGTCTCTCATGCGAGAAGGGAACCTACAGGTAACAGAGTTGAACGTCATTTCTTGAGATATTCACTACTTTTAGTAACTGTACTGTTGATCCAAATAGTTTGGACGGTGAGAGATGTTACCTATGTCCTCCAGGAGCAACTTGTGAGCAAAAAGATCAGAGGGGGACAACTACGGGAGTTATATCACCTCAGCGACAGCAAGGATACTTTGTTTCGAAGACTCGTTCCACTTACGCTGCATCCAGTTGTGACAATCCAGAACTATGGTTAGATGATGATCCGTGCAAATCCATTGACGTACCCAGCCTTGCTGCTCGTATCCACGAGTGCGCAAGTGAGAAACCGGATACATTTTTCAAGTATTGGAGCCGAACCAGAGTATACTCCTGTCTCTCCGGAAACGAATACTACGCGTGCGATGTAAGTTGTGCGTTTGAATGATGACATTACAACTTTTACTAACAATTGATATATTGCTGGTTAAATCTGTTACAGACAAATGCTGCTTGTGTCGCGGCCACTACAACTTCTATGGCTCCTAAAGTCTCCATCAGCACAGCAGCTGTCCAGCCATCAAGTCAATGTGCAGTTGGGTATTCAGGTATCATGTGTGCTACCTGTGCTGATGGCTACTACAAGGCGTCAAGTGGGACATGCAGGCGTACGTATATCCTTTGATACTAACGTCCCGCCTGAAACGGCTAATATTTCGTGTTTGATAGAATGCACGGACCCCAAAGACCCTGCAGTAGCTCAAACTACCCATATGCTCGCGATGCTACCCATAATTGTCGCTGTGATAGCTCTCTTGTTTCTCTGTTATCTTTTCTCCAACGCCGCCGAACAACGGGTAGTCAGTCATGCTCAAGCTGCCAAGCGATTCCAGATTTATGCCGGACAATCGCGCGCTCGAGTGCTGCTCCTCGCAACCAAGGCCAGCATCCAACGACGGGTCCGTTCGATGATACGAGCTGCAGCTAAGCGTGCTCGTTTTGGAAGACAAGATCATCCTTATCTGTTCCAGATCGAGCCCAGTGATGTTGAAATCCCATCATGGAGGCCGGAAAAGTTCAAAATTATGCTGGGTTTTTTCCAGGTTATCGGGAGCTTCAAAGAAGTGTACGAAATTCCGTGGCCAGACACTATGAGCCGTCTCATGGATATCTGCTCTTTAGCAGACTTTAACTTTGTGGATGCGACGGCGGCGGAATGTCTTTTTAGACGCGATTACTTCACAAATTATCGGTACGATTTCGGCTTACAATTGATTCCAAACATTTTTTCTGACATTTTTTTATGCTGTAGTCTTGCACTATTTGCACTGTTTGGATTGCTTTTACTCGTGTTTTTAGTCACATTTTGGGGAATTTTGCGATACCGTGTCAAGCTCTCAACACTCCCACGACATTGTGTGAGTTGTGGGTTACCAGTGTTCACTCTAGAACACCGCTCTCCACCAGTTCTAGCACGGCGAGCAGAGTTGCTGGCGAAGCTTAAGGTGGAACAAAAGATGAAGCGAAAAAATGTTGAAGCTGACACCCCAAGCTTGATTGGCCGTCTTAAATCAACGTTACGAAGGTCTCCGAAGCAGACATTGGAAAATGTAGAGTCGTGGCGGATTGTGCGGCTCGTAATGCGTGCTCTGAACTGGGTGGATCGAATCACGCAACTCCCCGCTTCGTTATCTACACACAAGCCGCGATGTCCAACATCCCAGCGTATTAAAAATGACGTTCTGGACATGGTAGTGCACAGTAACCTGCGACTTTGGCGCGCACGTGTCTGGATGCGTCTCTACTACAAAGCCTACCAAAACAGGTGCATCAAGCTGTTCTTCTGGTAAGTTATTTATTTATTTATTATTTTACTGAACATAAAACTAAATATTTTATTCAGGGTGTTGTTGTTGTTTTATCCGATGCTGTGCCAGCGTGTAATTGGCACGTTTTACTGTGACGAAGTCGGGGATCACTACTATTTGAGCCTTGATCGGAGTAACCTGTGTTATGAGGGTACCTGGCTGTACTACCTCCCTATCAGCAGCACTCTGATAATCTTCTGGGTTTTTGGTAGGTTGAGAAAGTTACAAAACTCCTTCGGAAGCGCTAACTAGTACACGATCTCTTGCACAGGTGTTCCGCTGTTGTTCTGGGTGATAATATATATGAAGCGGACACGAGGTGTGCGCGATACCCTCCTTCTGATCCAAGATCCGTCGCAGGAATCGTTAAAGCAGCGTTTGCTACTCAAAATGCGACTAGACATCATCAATCACGGCCAAGTCGTCGACGAGGAAAAGATTCAACTTTTTGAGACTGAAATGCTTGGTCGCTTCTTGTGCGATAGAAACTTGAACGTAAGGTGCTGCAGTTCAAGTCGTATGCTTCTTCAGCTCACGGTGTCTTTGCGTGCGTTTGCATAGGAACCAAGCACAGTCGCCCAAGTAGGATTCATCTACCATTCATGTAGGTGCCGACCAGCTCGGACAGGTGATTTCTGTATTGCTGACCCAGACGTTGTGCTATTCATTACAGACTGCACACGCTTTTGGTGGTTCGAAGTCTGGGATCTCGGCCGCAAGCTCTTGCTTAACTGCATCATTAGTCTTCTTGCCAAGGCTGGAGCCAACCGGGTCATCTGTGGTCTTGTAGTCTTGTAAGTGCTTGCTCGTTCTTCTCCCCATTAGCGACTATATAACCATACTTTTGTGCTGCAGGCTCGTGTATCTCTCCGTGATGTTGTTCTACCAGCCGTATAGAGAACCGTCCGACAGTGCTCTTGCTGGCTTGGTTCATATCCAGCTCTTCATAACCCTCTTCTGTACGTAAAACTTGATAGTCTAGACGTGTGTATCGCTTGTTGGTGACCTGGTTGTTGTCCATTACAGGCGGTTTGATCCTGAAGATGGGGTTGCTATACCTCGAAGAGCGCGTGATTCGATTGGTGACGAATGCAGCTATCATCACGAACATGATGACCTTGTGTTATGCCGTAGTCAGCATTCTCAACGAGAAGCGCAATGCCATTAAATTCGCTCAGCGTCAAAACCGAGAAGATCATCGTCGAGCCATCACCGCTCACGTTCGGAAACTCTGGCGTAAGGCACTCGGATACGCCCTCACTGAAATTTATCTGGACAATCCAGACGCTGGCCCGATGCCGTTGTTGGTGATGGCGGAGCTTGCTCGACGAAGAAGATATCAACAAGAACTGGATGATCTAAACGCTCAACTGGAACTCACTTCAGCGGTAAAACCATCGCTGGCAGCTCACGACCAGCAGGATTCGCTCTCAGCCTCCCAAATTAACGTCTTGGAGGACGGAAATGATGCACCCGATGAGCACATGGACGATCGGTTCGAGAAGAATCCAGACCTGACCAACAACAAAAAACAAATGTAATGCCGTCTGCAACGCAGGTGAATGACGTGGGGGAGGATGAACGTGTAGATAATGTGGCGTCCAGCGACGAAGATGGGGGAATACTGGAGCGGTTGACACCAAAGATTCCTGACAATGGGAAGCAAAATGAGTCAAGGTAAATGAGTAGTAAACGCATTCATGTAATCAATGCAGCGTGACATTGACTTCAAGTCGTGTCACTGCTTCGTTCAGACGTGTCCTGCTATTCTTTTCAGTATCGTCGTCATCACGAGTTGTTTTACCGAGCGCGCGACTTAGGGACCGTACGGGTTACTGTGGAGACGCCATCAACAAACTTGGTCCGGAAGACGACGTTGGCGTTGTTGAACATTCCCTCCTTGAGCGAAACGACGATGAACTGCGAGTGCGAGAAGTGTGACCGGATCATCTGGCCGATATTCTGCGTGTGCGAAAGATCCAGAGCGGCATCCACTTCGTCCAGAATATACATTGGCGCAGGCTTGAACAGCAAGAGCGATAGAATGAGCGATAACGCAAGCAGTGAGCGTTGACCACCACTCAACTCTGTTAAACTCTCTTTCCACACGCCGCCAAACGATACGCGCACCTGAAGTCCATCAAGAATAGTTCCTACATAACAAGATAGACGTCATCATATGAGCATCAGCATCCAAGTTCCAGCAGTAGAATACACACAACACCTTACCGTTTGTAGGAGGGTCCAGCTTTGCGTGCGTTCCAGGCAACAGCGTCCCAAAAATGGAGCCAAAGTCCTTGTTTACCTTCACCCATGTCGTCTGCAGGGCCTCGTTCTTCTTTGCGTCCAGCTCCTTGATGACCGAAGTGATCTTTTCCTTATCATTCTCGATAATGTGTCGCTTATTCATCAAACCCTGGTACTCCTGTTCGGCCTTCTCGATCATGCCCATGACCTTTTTGTTAATCTTCTTGGACAGAGCACCCTGCGTTTCCTTCAGCTCCAGCAGACGGCGATTGGCAGTGGATGGATCCCTTCGCTGGAAGTCATAGTCCGTGTGTTCGCGGCCGAAGAATTCCTTCTCAGTCTCGATCCACGGGTGTGCCTTCTCCAATTTCTTCACCATCATCTTGGCGTCGCCTTCGTCCTTGGCCATCCGGGAAATTTTGTGCTCTGCCTTCTTGCGTTCAATCTCAAGATCGCTCTTCTTTTTGGAGAGAGCGCTTTGACGAGCCGCAAGCTCCTTAAGCTGTTGATCACACAGACTCAGATTGCTCCTTCGTTCCTCCAGCTTCTGCGAGGCCTGCTCATAGGTATTCTGGATTTCAGCGAGCTTATCCTCGACCTTCTTCTCCTCTTTGCGGAGCGCAGCAAGCTCCTTCTGGATGCCAGTAACGCTTTCATTATTGCCCGCAAGCTCCTGCTCAGCCGATTCCGACTCCAAAACCAGCTCAGAGAGTTCCTGCTGCGCATTCTTGAGGTGCACTCCAACCTTTTGGGTCTCCTTCTTGGCCTCTGCAAATCGCTTCTCCAATACGCCGATCTTAGATTGACGCGACTCCTTTAAGTTAGCGATGTCGGCATCCAAGCTCTTGACTTCCTTGGCCAGGTGGACAACAGCCTCCTTCTTTGTAATCAGCAATTCTTTATCCTGAGCGTACTGCTCTTCTGAAGCTGCAACGTCACGTTCTAACTGCGCAAATACACTGTCAGCGATACGCTCATCCAGCAAGCGCAGCTCGTGCTCCTTCAACTCGATCTGGTGCTTCAACTGACGGAAGTGGCCAGAATCCTATCCAAACGAACACAAGTTAGCAAGCATAGAAGCACAAGAGTAGATCAATGTAAGCGTACCTGTTTCATGTCATCCAGGGCACGAGAACAATCCTGGTATTCACGGCGCATGTCACTGAGCTCGCGTGTGCGATTGATCAATTGATGAAGCTTCAAGAGGATTGGAGTGCCGCTGGACGGCGCAGAACCTCCTTGAAGCGTACCAGCCGGGTCATATGAATCGCCATCAAGAGTCACCGTCCTGACCTTGATATCTCTGTGGAAAGTGACATTCTTGGCAAGCTCGCTAGTTTCGCAGATAATCGAAGAGCCGAATGCGTACTCCATCGCTGGCAGAAGTTCCGGTTTAAAGTGAATCAATTCCATGGCTTCCCACACCTTTCCACCTTGTTGCTGAGCCACCTGCCGAGCCTTATCCATCTTGCGACGATCCACCGTCTTACGTGAAATGCGGTTGAGTGGAATGATAGTGACGCGGTTCATGAGACGTCCGAACTTGAGAATATCCTTTGCCGTCTTCTCGTTGTCCACCACAATCTGGTAGAGCTTTCCACCTGCGGCAATTTCCAGAGCAAGTGCAGACCACTCGTGTTTCGTCTCGAGCAGATTAGCCAGTACACCCATCACGCTCTCTCGCTTGAAATTGCGGTAAGGATCCGTGTACTTGAAATCCAATCGGGACGACAGCCCCGATGAGATCTCGTCCACTTCTCTCTCAGCTCGCATCATCTGATCTTGCAGTCCTCGAACGCGGTCGTGAAGCTTACGTTCTTCGTCGGGGTTGAAGCTACTGGTGAGCTGGTCCACCTCGCGCTGCATGTGCTCCAGTTCACTAATTTTATGCTTACGCTCTTCGTCCATGCTGCGGTTGTTCATGCTTGTCTGCTCAATCTCCCGACGCTTGTGCTTGATGGTCTCCTCCATGTGCTTCAGTTTCAGGTTAATCTGTTTGATGGCAGTGTTGTTCTCCTGTAATTCACGCTGCTTCGACGCAAGACGCTCCGATAACGACTCGTCGCTGTCTCCGCTCTGCTCCATACCAGCGTTTAGCGCTTGAATTTGCCGTTGGTAGTCACTAGCCTCCGCTTCCTTGGCATTGTAGGTCTCTTCCACCTGGTTCACCTTCTTCTTGGCCTTCTCAATCTCCTTTGCGAGCTTGGCCATAGCTTGCTCAGTCTCTGCTTGCTGCTCGTTCATGCCAACTTCCGCGTTCACCTGCTGCTCAATGGAAGCCTTGCAATGTTTCAACTTGGTCGTGAATTTAACCACCTCCTTGCCGATCTTCTCGACATTGTCTTTGAGCTGCTGAAACTCTTTGCCCATCTCCTTCTCTCTCTGTTCCTGTAACGCTTCAATCTCATCCTCAACCTGCTCGATCTCCTGTTCAATCTGCGCTTCCTGCTCTTTCGCGGTACGTTGGGCTTGCTGCATCTTTTCGACGTGCTGCGCCGTGTTAGTCAGCGCCTCTTGAGCCTTCTGGTAGTCGTGAGCAACGCAGAATCTCTGCAGTCGCTCCATCTCCGTATTGTTGGCCGCCCACTTCAAGTAGTGGGTCTTCTCAGCTCGAAGTTTCTCGAGTGTGGGCGTGATCTCATTGGCTAGAATGCTGTTGATCTCGTCCACCTTCTTCTCCTTTTTGGTCATGGTTTTCAGCGCTGCAAGCTTCTTGTTCTCGTACATTCTGGTACCGGCAGCTTCCTCGATCATACCGAGAATCTCAGGAGGCTTCATGTTAAGCACCTTGGTGATGCGGCCCTGCATGATGAGAAAGTGCGGGTTGTTGACGTTGAGCTGCACTGAGTGGAAGAGGTTCTGTACTTGGCTCACTTGGGCTGTGTGGCCGTTGATCAGGTATTTGTTCCTGCCGCCGATCACGACCTGCCGGGCCACTGAGATCTGCTCATACTGCTCGTAGCCCACGGGCGAGGCCTTGGCGTCCTGGTTGTTGAACACGATGGTGACGCTGGCTTTGGTCACACCTGCCTGGCCCTGTTTGTACACGAGCTCCTGCAGGTTGTTGGCGCGCACTTGGGACAGATTGGTGATGCCCAGCACGAAGCAGATGGCGTCCAGCACGTTCGACTTGCCGCTACCATTGAGACCCGTGATGGCGTTGAAGCGAGGGTCGAAGCCGCTCACGACTGTGCGCGTCGCGTACGACTTGAAGCCGTCCAGGATGATCTCCTCGATGTGCATGGCCGACGTGAAGCTTGGCTCAACTTGGCTTCCCTTCCTTCTGGCGGCGATGACCAGAGTGCGCGCGCAATTTGAACAAAACAGTGAAATACCACAATATGGTTTGCTCAGTTTTGTTTATTCTGTAATAAGTTTTAATAAATGTGCTTATTACACAATGTAGTCATTGGTATCCTTTATATTATTCAATATAGTCATTTACTTTATATTACTAATGCCGTGCTACGCCCGGGAAGGTCTAGATATTTGGATACTTAATATCTAGTATTTTAATATTTGTCGATACTATTGAAGAACATACCGTAACAGCGCCAAAAAAAAAATGAAACTCGTTAAAGTATTTTTTTTAAAGAAACAAACTATTTTTTCTTTTAAAAAATCTTTAATGCACATTCAAAAAAGTGTTTTTTTTAATTTTGAAGTGCTAAAATACTTTTTTTTTTTTTCAAAACGTCTTCATTTCAAAAGCTTTTTTTTTAAAATGGAAAACACCAAAAGTTCATTTTAAAAAAATGTTTTCAGCGAAAACTAAACCCTGAAAATCTGATCATTCTTGGTTCGTTTTAGCAATAATGCTGCGGCGGAGCAGGCCATAGATATGGAAAAGGGAAGGAGTCGGTCCGAAAGAGGAGGTTATATCACCGCCTATCATCAACACTCCCCATGAATGTGCTGAGAGCATGCTGCCAAAAGGTGAGACCCAAACCAAGATCTTAGAAGGAACCGACAGCGTAGGTGCGCAACCTGGATCAAAGAAGGAGTGCTTGGAACCGACCATCGTCAGCGCTCATAACGAATATGCTGGGGGCATGCTACCAAAACCGAAAAGCAAGAACAAGACTTCAAAAAAAA